ATGTGAATCCGAACCTGCGACTTAATCTCAGCCACGTAACTTGCGGTAGAAACAGTTTTATTTTGGAATAGCACTAGGTACCCGTCAAATAAGTCGGTGCTTTTTTATTTTAGAACAATTCAAAATTATAAACGCGCATTTCATAGGTATAAAGATCGTAGAAGTATGGAATTTCTTTATTTTCTCATTTCAGTATTTTTTTTTTAAGAAATCATTTCCGATAGTGTCATTGTTAAGGACACTTAGTACTTAATTGGTTTTATTATCCTTAGAACGCCTTAACCCGTGACCTTGTTGGTGTCCAATCGGTTATTAAAAAAAATTACCGACGGCCAATGACTTTCTCCCCGAATTCCGCACTCTGGACACACGTCCGAAGATCATAACAACAACAACAATAATAATAATAATACACTGTTCGGCCTGATCTATCATTAACCCACTTGCCTCGTTTCGTTTGCTTCAGTAGGTCACCATTTCGGCTTGTCTATCTCGAGACAATATCGTCTCTGTATAACATTATATATTAATTTTTTTGATAAGTTAAGAGATAAGACTGAGAAACATGGAGACTGTTTGAAAGCACAGATATACCGATATAGCATACCCCCCACTGAAAAACTAAACCGTAATTTAAAAAAAACATGCCATAAGGCCTAAACGTCCGTTAAAAAAATATTAGTAAGCACTCAAATATTTATCGATTGCCTACACAAAGATTACATTTTGGACTTGTGTATATATATATTTATAAAATTAAATGTTAGCTATCCGACATTTATAAGTTGTTAATGGTTATTACTTCCAGGTACAATACAGACGTTTAATTTGGCCAACGTCTGATGAAAAAATGTTAACTCGTTCATTAAACAATTTTCACATATTATGTAATCACATACACGGTTAATTAAATGACAAGTTAAAAATAAAACATTTTTAACTACATTTTATTAAATTTTATACACACACAATAATTATTTCAGACTTTAATGTTACTATTATTACCAGCTGATTTTCCCTAACCTAATCTCATCCCTTATTTCGTGTCGATTGTGATGACAATAACGTGTATTTTATCAGTTGATTAGGTTACTTTTTTTGGTCATTCCCCGTTTTGTGATTAGCGTCGTTGATATACTTCAATATTTTTTATAAACTAAAAAATATGTCGGATTAGCTTTTCTGTTTTTTTTAACCGTTTTCGTATTTTTTAACCCTTTTTTTAAATTAATCCACAAATATCTGTATCGTAATTTAACCTTTTTTTTTTAAAAAACTTTTTTATTATTTTTGCTGTACACGTGTGAACATAATGCTGCTTTCATATAATTAAATAGATAACTCGCTTTTAATGGATCATTTTTTACATTGGGTTGTCGTTTCTGTTGCTTGTCAGCACGTGACCGATACCGTAGTATGCGAAGGATTAACATTATTGACTAAGTACGATTAAGTGGGATTTTATTTTTTTAATACTTGTATGCGAATATGTGTAGAGTACGTGATAAATATGTACGAATCGTAGGTACGTGTATTTGTTCAGTAACTAGAGTTATTATTACTATTATTATTTTATATTAATAATTATTCTACATATAATATGTCAGCTGAGTAACCAATACCTGTGACGCTGCATACGTACATTGCACGTTAATAATTTGTATTGATGTTTTGCTTATCTTAAGCAAATTTTAGTTCTTATTTTATTTTTTCCAAAAAATCCGCTCGATTAAAAAAACAGACAACAATGGAGAACAACTTTTTTGGATACATTCGACGAAAACATCAGTAAAAAAAAACATGTAATCAGTACTTTTTTTTTTAGATTAATCTATTAATTTGTAAGCCGCCAAGATAAAAAGTCATAGTACATTTTAGTTTTTACTATTTATTTAATTATAACACATACCGCAACACAAAATCAATACAAATATATTGTTTGGAATCCGAATGATAATTTATTTTTTCAAATGAAATTAAAATATCGTATTCCAAAAAATTTACTGAAAATGAAAGTAAAGCAACCAATATAATACAATAATACATTTTTGAGCTGGCTTGACTGCTCTTTTTTTTATATCTCTTATTATTGTGTAATGTTTCAACTCGACAAATTGCTTCTTTTCCCGATACATTTTTTCACGACGAGTTTCTAAAATATCCGGATTTCAATCCTAAACAAGAAATATTAGATGAGTTGGAAAGCAACAACCTTTTTAGATTCTTAATTTAGTCATGATTTCTTTTGATTACATGCGTATTAAAAAAATAATATCAGAATGTCATACAGTAAAAACTTAAGTACATTCAGGTTTTTTTTATGAATCTTCGATCATTTTTCTTTAGACGATTTTGTGTCAATAATAATTATGTTATATTATAATTACACATAATCTAACCAAAGGTAGTAAGGTAGGTTCTGTTAATATACCGAACGCAACCTTAGCTGAAATTACCCGTTATTTAATTGTGATTATTTTAGTTGTATATTTAAATACAATTTAACAAAATCAGACCAAAAAGTAAATTAAATTTAACTTTAGCTGACCCTATCTGCTTAGTTATTTTACATAACTCGATCAAAGGTGATACAAATTTGCGTTACCTTTTGATTTTATTATACACGACTTAACCTTACCAAATCGAATTAAACCTCAAACGAAATTAACTACTTAATACAATTATTTCAGCTCTACGATTATACTCCACCGAACCTAACCTAAAACTGACAGCTATTTGATTTTGAATTATAATAATATTGTTGCCAGTGTTTCGGATAATCGAATCAATTTGTCACAGAATATGACATCAGGTAAAATAACACCTAACGAATTTCTAGAGCACTGAACAAAATCAAAAAACATCAAATCATAGCTGATAATCAAGCTATATTGCCTTCGACAATAAGATATAATATTAGCGGTTACAAAAAGTATGATTTTTCCCGAAAGCTGTAAAACTATTCTCTCCGTCGTAGAAATAAGCGTGACATTTATAATTTTTTATTTTGGTAATATTGTGCGCGTTTACCAATGAATTTGTATTGAAAAATATTAATAGATACTTACTTTCTATTTTATTCATTAAAAGAAAACTGTCCTATGTATATTAACGTAGTGGTTTTCCTTAAAAAAATCTCGTTTTTGTTAAGATACGGCGCATTAGACGTGCACGACCACATTTTCACATGGTCATACACAAATCTGCATACCTAATCATATATATCATATATATATATATATATAATAATAATATACATAATATAACAAAGATCCCATTATTCATTTGGTTAGATTTCTCTATGGAAAATATCATGACCAGCTCATCCGACTATATCGACTACCGCAATGTTTTTCGCGTCGCAGAAAAAAAACCGACCGTTTGTTCATCATACTAGTGTTTTTTTTTTTAGTTTGACAAAAGTTAAACTCGTGTAAATCAATTTCACGGCTACAACACTATTAACAATAAGCACCGTGGCGTGATAGTCTGGTACAGCCAAGACATGAAATCCGCCATCCATACGGTCTGTATATTATAAGTAGCCTGGCAGAAGTTTAATTAAACAAATCCTCGCAATTCCTGTCAGTTTTTCTGAAACATAACATTACAGTTATCCTTCGATCGTCACGGGTCGGACATGGTTTGGGAACATAGAATTTTCTCAGAAACTTTTATGTTCTCCTTAATTAGTCACAGAGTAAAAGTTTTGCATAGTAAAAAATCCTATTTTAATATATTATATTATAAAATAAAATAAACATAAAAATACACAACGCATACAATTTAAGTACATATAAGGGAAGAGCTTCAGTCCCCTCCTGTATCCGCTCCTGGCGATAGGAATATATAGTTAATCGATTATTATTCGATTTATAAGTACAACGTTACTGCAAAAAGTTTGCCTTATGTATACACTATGGGGCTTTTTTTATTTGGCAATTTTCAGATTTAGATCAATCTTGATATTGATGTCTTATCCGCATAAACTTTCGTGTTGATCAGGCTGAATGTAAGTCCCCAAAGATGTTTGATGGTTTAGTTGATAATTATTACTACAAAACATAAACATAGTCACGGCTAATAGTTGCAATAACATAATATGGTATACTTTGTTAGAGTGCGTAACATAACGTTGCCTCATAGTAATATACAAACACTATGGTAGCCGAAATGTATTATTAGTATTAGGTAAAAGTCGTTGCAAAAGAAAAACCTCAATTGTTTTTGATAACAACAGTGTGGATTTTTTTTTTAATGAAATTTAAAACAGTATAAAACAACATGTACCGATCGGTAAAACGTGTGTTAACAGAGGTCTAAGTCTCACCGTCTGAGCGTTGGGAATACAATTTGAATATATTACAGTTGTGTTAACATTAAAAATGTTTTTTTTCCTTTTGTCTTTCCCCATCAGAATCGGGCGTTTGTTTCACAGCGACCGTCCGTGTGAGTGTCGATAGTAATTTACTCTTTGCCTTTGGCTACCGTCGACTCAAAATAATACTATTAAATCAAATTGTTCGACCGACAAATTTTTCCATAAAATAACGACTAACGCTAAGCTTGTAAATTGGGAAGTAGAGGAACAATAAGGGGAACGTAACATGCGTTCATAAATCACTTATCGCGCGCGCCGGCGTTCACTAATATGTTAGTGTTTGTACGCTTAATGAATAGAGATAATAAACCACTTCCAACGGTGAAAAATATGTATGCATTCGAAATTATTATATTGTTGTCACAACTCGAATGATATTCAAACATAATATTGTATTCCAACTAATCACGGCCGGTACAGTTATCGCCGTCGGCAAGTTCTGTGCGGTCTCAGTGCGTTTTGCTTCCGTCCGTCCGTTTTTTGTCTGTTTTGCACCCACATATTAGTATAATGGAAAAAGACACGGAGTTTTTGTAAATTATAGCGCTTTATTGCCGAGAACAAGCACATACAATCGGTTCTTATTGTATTTTTTTTTTTTTTTTTTGGTATTTCGCAGGTTGGTCGATAATCCTAAGTACGGTTCCGTTAATGAGGACGTGTTCATGGGCACACCACCGATGAACGGCACTGGAGCGCCTTTCAACCGGCAAGCGTCCATCGGTTCCACCGGCAAACAGCTGGTCTATTGCATACACGGAAAACCGTCGGGCTGTTGTGCCACTCTAGTGTCCACACCCGATGACCAGAATGCCAACCATGAGAAACCAGATCCGTCCGACCCTAAGTCGCCAATCACCATATGTGAGTACAAAAAAAAACACCTACATCTTAAGTATTATAACAATCAGACGAAAACATAGACACGTAGGTTAGATCTAGCCAGCCAAATATACACACTCTTTCCCTCTCTCTTTGGAGCGAATGAAGGCAAGGGTTGATGGCCATGACTTTGTGACATCCACCCACAACGTCATCTTCGGTCTCCCCCTAAATCAATCTCTATCCTTCTGTTGACATGCCCAACACATCTCAACATGGAGCCAAACTATTAAATTTCAGATTCTTCTAAGCTCATTTAGGCTCCCTCCAAATGCCAGCAACTAAACTGGTGTTAACAAAAACTCTGTGGGAACTCGGAAGGTATGAACTACTCAAGTTCCCCCCCTCCCTTGAGAGATGCTCAATTCTAATTTTGTCTAATCTAACCACTTCACAAGTATCTATCTCGATATTTCCGTTGCGTATACTTTTATTTTCTTAGATTTCCCACTCAATCTAAACGAAACCCTTTTGTCACGCTGTACACAAATGTTACCTCTTTCCACCTAATCCAACCGACCACATTACATTAAATTATGGATAATCTAGCAAAACCGATTCCAACTAACTCTTTATGAATCACAATGTCTTTAGCTCGCTACATCACTTAATTTAAACAGTAAGTATTTTGTTTTCGGCTGACTTACTCTCATGTAATTTTTCTCCATTGTTCTAATTTATCTCCCAACACTTTTGTTCTCTCATTCATTGAAACTACACTATCAGCAAGCAATAGACACTATAATTATAATGTAAGAAAAACATGTACCTATAGGTGTTAAGCTGACCTAATGAGCTTAATGAACGCGTTCATACAATATGCTCTGCAGGTTGAATAGAATTAGACAAAATTGGCGTTGGTGTCAATAACATGAAAATTAAGAAATTGCAGATATTATGTCGAGATGGGTTGGGCATGTCCAATCTTCGAATTTTGAACTCTTCGGATACTACAACTTACTGATGACTAGTCCGATACTTTATAAGTTATGAGTCATTAACAAGTTTTATAAATTCGTTTTTTTTATACTATCGTCATAACTAGTTTCTTCTGTTCTTAAATTTAAAACAATTTTTAGATACTTGATTGTTTTTATTTTAAAACATTGGAGTTTAATAGTTTTTTGATAATTTTTACAATAATATTAAAATGTAGAAGCCCTGATGCGCGTATAGGTAATTTTATTTTCTGAAATATTTGGAACTGACACCCAAAATAAGATGAAATACGTTGATTTATAAATTGATTATTGCAAACAATGTTCTTTTTAAAATAGTTTTTTGTGTATTATTTAAAATAAGAGGCGATACTTTCGGCCGCTTAAGTGTATTTCCATAAACATGAAGATATTATTTCAATGTTTTCAAGGTAATTTGAAAATAATATATGTTTTATGTTGACCATGAATTTTATTTTTTAAGTGATTAAGATATTACTATTTTTTTTTTATTTATTAAGTTACATTGAAATTATACTTAATTAATTATATAATGTTCACATAAGTATATTGTATAATTATTATAAAATAAACATAACATACAAACTATTATGAAATAATTATTATGTCGTAAATAACCACTATCCACAATCGATTGATTTGCATAGAGAATATCGTTTTAATTAATGGGCTAATTTTAACTATACCGGTATTACCTTTTTTATACCCTCAGAGACGGTCACCAGGTTGTGTTATACTCTCATATATTAATATACCGGTACCCAAAACCAAAAACCCCATTGTATGCTTCCATTTTAATAGGCTTGCTTTCCAACCCGTGACATAATCCAGCAACTATTATATTTTTTTGATTATCATTTAGACACATTTTCTCCAGACTACTTCCCTTTCAAATTTGAGAAAAACACAAAAAATCTTACATGTTTATAAATTTTAATTTATTATTTAAGCTTAAGTCTACGTTATAGCGCGCTATAACTTTTTTTTTTTTTTTAATAGTCTAATTACTCATATTTCCAAATTTGTAAATGGGTAACAACAGCAACAAAATATTTTGGACAATGGGAATGGCGATCAACTTTAACCGTATCTTCCTTAGTCATATATATAATTTGAAGTACTATAAATTTTTTCGTAGTTCTACTATCTACAGTTTCGCAATGAAGCAATTTCATTATTTTCAGTTATAATAATCCCTGTAGACTTGTCAACTACCACCCCCCCCCCCTATTGGGCTCTGTCCCATTGTAATAGTTTTTTAAAAAATAAAAGTTGTTTTTAAAGTTTATAGATTTATCTCGTGAACGATAATAATTTACGCTGTTCGCTTCTAACAGTAGCACTCGAATGTGTATACAATAAGACGTTATTATATTATTACCCATACATAGAGATTAGAGGTACGTATTATATAGGTGGACAGGAAATCTATTTGTTTTATCGCCTCGGGTATAGGTCCGGTCTGTCGAGACAAGATTAAATTCTTTGGATTCCACAGTGCCACCTTAGATTATTTTATTATTAATACTTGCTTCGACGGAATAATATTAGTTTAAACTATTACGAAAATAAAATAATAGTAATAATAATAATTAAGGGATGTAATAATAACAAAACATCTGATAAAAAATAGATTAATATAGTCATACGAATGGTGATGGATAGAAAGCATTACGAAAAAGTAAGAGAAAATATTCTTTAGTTTACAATATTAAATATATAACATTCAGGCATTAGCTTAACATTTTTGTTATTATTATAGATATAACTACTGTTGAGTGTTAATTTTTTTTATCGTAAAATAGTCTTATTATTATTGACTAGCACTGCGTCAAGTCGTTCTCGTTATCTGAAATATGTATGTTATAGAACAGTATTGAAGTGTTAAGAATCAAAAAATTACAAATTATTTAAAAATACAGTATTATACAGAGTTATACCTATTCAATTTCAATTATTGTTTAATACTTCAACATCTCCTTCGAAAATTGTAGGTAAACGAGTACAGATAGGAAAACAAAAATATACCATTGAAAAATAACGTACGATCGAAAACGGAGTTTTGAAAAATAGTCACTTGTAACCGCCTTTTTGATCACTTCAAATGCACTAACAATATGTTTTTGTTTTCGCAGTCAATGAACACTGTCATCCGTACCGAGAGAGCACGTCGGACCATCAGAAGGCCCGGCGGAAACTCATATTCGCCAGCGCACTATGTCTGTTCTTCATGGTCGGAGAAGCGATCGGTAAGGCGGTCATATACCATAAAGTTAGGTATTTTCATTCATAAAACCGATGTCTTGATGCCGTTTACCTTTTTTACCTTCAGGAGGATACATGTCGAGCAGTTTGGCCATAGCCACGGACGCCTCTCACCTTCTCACCGACTTTGCCAGTTTCATGATTTCGCTGTTTGCCATTTGGGTGGCTTCCAGACCGGCCACGCAGTCCATGCCTTTCGGATGGTACAGGGCCGAAGTGTTGGGAGCACTGACTTCGGTGCTGCTCATCTGGGTGGTCACCGGCATACTGTTGTACTTGGCCGTCGAACGGATCAGTAACATGTCGTACACCATTGACGCCAACATCATGCTGATCACGTCCATCGTCGGGCTGTGCGTCAATCTAGTGTAAGTTCAAACGATTAGAAGTCATGTTTCAGGGAGGGGAGAAGTAAAAACACAGTTGAGGCAAAGAGTTTCGTTGATTATCCGATGTTGGGGTTCATTTGAAATGGCGCTGTTAAGTTAGAAATATCTTGGAGTTTTAGCAACCAAAACCGCACCGTGTCATCAATCCCTGTACTGAACCGCCTCTTTCCATTTGTCCACTCCCAAAGTCCAACGTCTTCTTTAATTACGTCTATTTGCCTTATTCCGAGTCTACCATAAGGCCTTTTTTACCTTGGGGGTTCCGTTATCTTATCCCTCTTTTTTCGTTGTATGACCCACTATATTCTCTGGTCTTTGTGACAGCTCTTTATGTGGCACCACGTCACACAGTTTTGATTTTTGGTTTTTCAAGATGATTAAAAGCATTGTCAAAGCGTTTCATTGAAGTGGCTTGAGGGATGGTTAGGGAAATTAAGACCCGTTGATGCCGTTCAAACGTCAGTTTGGTTTCTGGCGTTTTTCAGGAACTCGAAGGAGTTTTGAAGGATCCGAACACCCCCAGGCTCTACAATTTTAGCACATTGCAAAGGGGGTGTCGAGTAGAACTTTGTTGGGTTTAGCAAAAACCCATGTTAAAGCGACTGACTGTTTTAAAAATCATTGAACGCTTATTGTTTTTTCGTTTGCAGCATGGGGTTGACGCTTCATCAGCACTCGCACTCGCACGACCACGGATCACACAGTCACGGGGAACAAGGCGCGAGCCGGTCCAACATAAACGTTAGGGCCGCATACATTCACGTTCTCGGCGACGTCATCCAGAGCCTTGGAGTTCTGGTGGCCGCGGCCGTTATTTACTATAGAGTGAGTATACATACTGTCATTAAGCCGGCGTGTAACGAATTTCAGATACAAATGATTTTAAAAATTGTGTATAATGTATAGTAGTATAGTAGGCATAGTGTACACCTACTTAAACCAAATCAACTTTATTTGTTCGCGTTATCTATTCCTCCAAAGTTTGTTAATCTTTCGAGTGTCCGCGTCTAAAGTGCAGTGTTCATATAATATTTTTCATTGCACAATCTCGCTGTTGTTCCCCCAAAGTCAATCAATGGCCGCTTATCTACAATGTGTTATTAATGCTAATTACCTCGTTATCTATTTTACAGCCCGACTGGAAAATCGTCGACCCGATATGTACGTTTATGTTTTCCATTTTGGTGTTGATCACCACATTCAACATACTCCGGGACACGATGATTGTGTTGATGGAAGGCATGCCCAAGGGCGTTAACTTCGTGGACGTGCTGGAGACGTTCATGAGCATCGACGGCGTGGTCCGAGTGCATAACCTTAGGGTTTGGGCCCTCAGTCCGGACAAAATAGCCTTGGCCGCTCATCTGGCAGTCAGTGAGTCGACGAAAATCTCATTTTACACTTCACCCGTATTTACAAACACCAAACCACTTCTTCTTTCATTTCTCGCAACTCTTAAACTGCATCTTATCGTTCCTAATTCTATCAAACCTACTCCGTCTCAACTTCATAATTTCAGTTTTCCTTATACATCGTTCTATCGACCTCAATGGCACATTTTGACACCTTAACGCCCAGGCAACGGTTCTACCTGATTTGATTACATTTATTCTATTTGCTAAATCTTCTCTGATTCCTCTGATTTCTTGTACACCTAATTCGAAATTCTTCTCGAATTTTCCTACTCTTTTCATTAATTCCCTCCAAGAGCACAAAAGTTTCCGAGTCTCCTCGACGAACTCAATAACTCTACATCCAGCCTTTTGGGATTCATGCGATCCGACGTCTTACCGCCCGACTGAATAACTTTTTACATCTTTTTTTTTATAGAACCCGGCGTGAGCACAACGACGGTGCTAAAGGAGGCTTCGCGGCGAATGTATAAGAAGTACAACTTTTTCGATTGTACGCTGCAGATCGAAGAGTTTGACGTTCAGATGGAAAACTGTTTGCAATGTCAACCGCCAAAGTGTTAAAGGGGAAACGCTGCCGCAGCCATCGTACCCACCGCCCACCACGGCTTCTGCCTTTGAAGCTTTTAGCCGTCCAGCCTGCATTAACACAATATACGATTGCTTTGCGCTCTCCCCCACCGACTCTGCTCCCCCCTCCTGTCCACCAACTCCCAAGTTGTGATCTCTGTACACACGATACGTTTTTATTTTTTTTAATTATTATGTCGTTTGTAATATTTTTAGTAGTTAAGTAAAAAAAAAAAACGAAACAAAATAATAATTATCGTCGGTTGGCTATCTCTGGCTCTGCTAGAATGCGATAATATTATTATTTTTTTTTTAAATTAAATTAAATTTCTACTGTAATATTAATTGTAAATGTATACTATGTTATATTTATATATTTATATTATATAAATGTAATAATATAAATGGATTTTTTATACCGTATACGTACAGCTGCCATAACTGGCATCGAGTCGATCCACGTGAATTATATTTGAAATGATTTTTTTTTTTTATAATTCTGAATTTATTTTTGTTCACCTATATTGTACACTGAAACCGCAGTCGTTCCATCGTTTCATATTACAGTTCAATGGTGTGTCGATCGATTCATTATTTTGCAGATAACCGTTAACTTTACCATTTTCAATAGTTTGTAAGACGTTTAACTTTTATAACATCAGCTGTTAATCGTTGTACACTCAACCGACCTATATAATTTTTTCCCTACGGTGCCATAAACATTTTATATTAAGTACATAATACATACTGTATGAAGAAAATAGACCGTTGAGTTATTTGTATTTTTTTTTTTTAAACTGTTGGTATGATTTTTCTAGTTACGAGTCTATGTTTTATTATGTTTACAACGTATTAGTTATTATATTAAATAAATTATTTTATTATGAACGTGTAAAAATGTGTTGGAAAATGATTTTCTCTTTCATATTATGTGTGTAGTTTACCGAGTTCTAATCTTTATTATAAATTATATTTAGGTATTTTATACATTATGTACATATATTATTGTTTTTAATTAAAATCATTATTAATTAATTATAATGATAAGTATACTTGTATATAAAAAAAAAACCGTGTAATATTTTATAGTATTGTTTTGAATGCGTATGATACAAAGTTCAACATTTTTTAAGAAATCCTAAGAAAGAATTTTGTACGTCTATATAAAATTTGAGATTAGGGTTTTATTTAAATAATTTAAGAAATATTAAGTGAATTGTTAAATAATTAATTTATACTTACTGTTTTATACAGTTTGTAACTGTGACGAAGAAGAAATTTCAAAAATTATCGCTGGATAATAAGCAAAGTTCATGTTTGTCAAAATGATTACTTAGATATTGTCTTTATTTTGTATAATATTAACATAACAATTCCATGATAATACAACAGCTTGTCCTGATGATTGTTAACATGTTTTTATTTTCATGTCAATGTGATAAGGCATTAGTATGATAAACTAAACTCTGCATGGTACTACTATGAGTAACCAGGGTAGACATTTCCGAAAGAGTTGGTAATGCAATAAAATAATTATTATAATTTATAACAAAAGTACCTTCCAGAAGTTAATTGTACATTTATATATCATCGCATCACTTGGACGTCAATCATGTCAAATTAGCTCCACAATATTATCATTTAAAAAATATCCCCGTCTATTTAGTGATGACAATAATTGTGTATATAGATTATAGTTTCTCCATTGCTCTAGTAACGTGATGTATTTAAGACACGACGGTTTCTGGTACATACTGGGGTTTGTCTTTAAAATAAATGAAATAATAATTGGATTTTAAATAGTAATCTACTTTTTAGTCGATTATTCATTATTTTTTAGATTTTTTACGAAAAGGTATGAGTTTTAAGTTTATTTGAAATTGATTTTGTCATTTACTTATTATTGATAATTCCTAAATTAAATCAAGGGTAGAAATTTTTTTTTTTTTAAATACAAATTCTTATTTTGTTTTGTTTACTTTAAACATAAAAAAAGTTACAGACTACTTAAAGCCTAAGGGCTAAAATTATAAAACATGCAACATGCTTTAGCCTGCTGACTCCTGAATAGTGATTATTTCTGTCTTATAAATCCTTGCGATTTTTCACGATAGTACTTAATTAATTTTAGTTCTGGCCAAAACGTTTGCATGACGACGATGACTCGTTATATTATACGTTCAAAGTAGACGCGCTACTTGCGTGACGCTATTTTGTGTCATTTTTAACCTGGGAAGCATGGCTAATAAGGCTTAAGCATGTTCCAGGCTAAAAAAAACCTGAAAAACAGTCAAGTTCAACTATCATTATTGATTTATGGAACTCATGAGCCAGTTTTGAGAATTTAGGGACTATTATGCGTCCGTGATAATCTTAAAATTAAAAAAAAAAAATCTATAAGGTGTTAGTTTAACAAGTATGAAGTATACAGCTGATTAATTTAGTTCTAGTTTTTATTTATTATAATGTGTTACGTATTACTATGCATAACTGATCCCAAGTATTAAGTATGAAACTTCAAGTATAAAAAGTTTAGAAACCCGCAACAACATTTTATGAATATTTGATTTGTTTTATGTGTAATGTAAAAAAATGTTTTTTAGCTTCGATGCGGAGCAGAGATGCTATTTTTTATTTAGTTTACGCAAACATATTTTTTACGCGAATGACGTCAGTTCAAAAATGTATGTTTATTGTATTTTTTGTTGATTTAATACTTTAAAACATACCAAACTCAAAAATGCTCAATACCATCATATTACTTATAAAATGAACTATTTTTTAATATATGTAGCAAGATTGTCCAGGCGTTAAGGCGTTGTTTAAATTCATATTTGCACTTTGATACCAAAATTCTAGATGTCTTTAGCAAGTTGTATACTATTACTATGTTTAGGACGTTTTCTTGTTCCAGCATTGGCGGTAATAAACGGTTCTGAAGATTTCGAGTTTTTAAACTGGGAAGATGATACCACTCATCTGAACAATGATGTGGAATTCTTGAGGGATATTATGTCAAGCAATGTAAGAAATCACAACTTCGATGACGAAGTTCAAATAATAGGGTCCAGTAAATCGGATGATAAAACCGCAGTAACAGATGTGATACCCAAACAAGACCAAGGTAAAATTGTCTTAAATACTAAAAATACCGAGGCCTAATATGGATAGCAGCTGAATAATTATAATGATATTTAAGTTGCTTTTATGGTATATATAAGTGATGGGAAAATCCGGATTTTGCTAAGTTCAAAAAACCGGAGTTTTAAACTTCGAAATTCGAAATCCGGAGTTGTAGTATTCGAACTTCGAAATCCGGATTTCGAAGTTTTCGTTATAAATCCGGATTTCGAAGTTCTCGTTATAAATCCGGATTTCGAAGTTTTCATTATAAATCCAGATTTCGGAGTTTTTATTATAAATTCGTAGATTGGATTTCAATTTTTTTACAATAATAAATAAATTATATTTTTTAATTATTTAGTATTATGTACAACGCGTTTATGTAGTATACAAATAAAAATTTAATTATTGAATTGGTAAATTAGGTATCTGTTTTTATAGTTATAAGAACCTTATGTATAAACACGATTTACAAGTCTCAATGACACTTTTATAATAGATTAGAGCAATAAGTTGTAATAATATGAAAAATACACAACACAATATATATATATAAATTAGGAAAAATAATAAGTCAATCTGGAATTGTATATGTTTTAAATCTAAATAAATAATAATAATACTAACAATACTTTTTGATATAAATAGTTAAGCAGTAGAACCAATTACATTATATAAAATTGTAGTTAATTTTCGGTTGTTTTTAAAGTAATTGACATTTTAAATAAAATGTGCTACAGTTGATTGGTAAATTGTTCTTGTAATAAAATTATTTTTTACTTTTTAGTTCACTTTTTACTACTTTTTAGAAAAGCATGTTTTTAAAAACAAAGTTTTATTTATTTATTTATTTTATTTTTTACTTTTTAGTCCTATTAAGGTACTTAACAATTGGTGAATAGATTACTAAATTCATTTTAGAAGATTTGAAAAAAAAAATTAAATTTTAGTGAAATGGTCGCCATATTTGACCCCCCGGCATTTGCGACCTGGATGTCTAGGTCCCAATATTTTGACGGAACATTGTATTGTCATCCAAAATGAGTGTCTAGGTTAAATTTCAGCCTATATTATATCAGGAAGTGGGTTAAATTAATTTTAGAAGATTTGAAAAAAACATGAAATTTTAGTGAAATGACCCCCACATATGACCCTGTGTAGGGCGACCTGGATGTCCGAGTCCCAATATAACATTATATTATAGTGTCATCCGAGATGAGTGTCTGTGCCATGTTTCAGCCTTCTACGACATCGGGAAGTGGGTTAAATTAATTTTGCAAGATTTGAAAAATATCCGTACAAACGTACGGACGTACGTACGTGTTAGCGAGTTAAAGAAAAACATGTAAAAACTACTCAAATATAGCTTACAATTTTTAAATAGGTAATTGTTTTCAATATATCACAAATAGTGAACTGTAATACAGCATACTTATTTTGTATTTGAGCTAGATTACATATATGAAACTTAAAGTTCATTAGAAACATATAACTTAGGGTAATTTAGTTGAAGGGGTCCGATAATAGCATTTCATAGAGGATTAAAAGTCAACTAATTTGAACAATTTGGTCATCTTGTACTACTGAATTAGTAATTACAAAATGGCTTTATAAATTTAAAAATCGGTAATTTGGCTTTTTATTTAAACCCAGGTTACGGTTTCTTAAGTTCAAATTTTGAAATCCAGATTTGTCATTAATCCCGGGTTCTTCGTAAAATCCGGACTCTTCGTGAAATCCGGATTCTTCGTAAAATCCGGATTTTTTTCATTGAACTTCGAAAACCGAAAACAGGATTTTACGGATTTTAAGAAAATCCGGATTTATTTCCCATCACTAGTATATATCAGTACACTGTACTGCGCAATTTTTTTCGTAATTAAATTATAATACTAATTACACAGAAAAATTGTAATTAAATTACTTACCCTCGAGTTTCAATAGCATCACTAGAGCTTAATTATTATTATGATATTCAATACACTACCTAAGAGTCATGACCTAAAATTGTACGGTTTTGTCAAATAGCTATTGCAAATATCTTGGGATAGAAAAATGATGTACAATTTGTGTCAAAAACTGGCTGTTAAAAATGTATTAACCTACTATAAAGTAACTAGTAATTTAAAAAAAAATACTATAAAAATAACTTAAAATACGTATGTTATTCTCCTGCATAACTGATCCCAAATACTTAAATTTCTCTATTATTATGTTCATTTGCTTTCATAGGGTGTACAATTTATTATATTAAAATGTAACTAGCACTTAATTTAAAATAAAATACTACAAAAATCACAAAAAAATTACTTTCAATGAAATTTAACCAAATTACCTTAAAATTAATTAAAAATAATTTCGTTACAGTAATTTGTAACTCCCTATAAGTATCCAATACATTTAATTATTTTTTTGCTATGCTTTACATAATCAAAATAGGTAAAATCATATTTATGTGCTACAACATGTAAATTATTTTAGATCTACGAGGTGTCGGGCAGCTAACCTAAAATAATCTGCTTTTCTGTATATTTGTGTGTTATAAAATCAATTCTGAGTTACCGAAAAATCTAATTTTTAAATTAAATTAGGTATGAGCGGATTTCAACAATTTTCTTTTTAGTAACTTTTAGCATTGATTTTAACAAATAAGTGGTTGGTGCTACACCTGAACACGAGCATATTTACCTTTCATTCTAAATGCACCTTTCGGATTTTTGTACACAACAATTCTGTTGTCTGTTTCAATGCCATTTAACCACACTTTATTCTACTCGATCACCATTTATTTTTTAATTCCACCATTATCTTGCAAAACTGATTCCAACTACTTAAATTTCTCTATTTAATGTCTACTTGCTCTCCGGCTCTCTACCTCTGTCTAAAAATAAAATCTCCTTATTACTAAACTTTAACTGTTGAGTAGGTATTTATTAACTCTGTTTTAGACCTACTTATTCTCTAACCATTTTCCTCCAATTCCCTTTTCCGTTGCTCTAGTTTTATTCCCAACAGCCTCTGTCCTGGCATTCACTAAAAATAGGCTATATGCCTACACATCGTCTATATGCCTCTAGTAAGTTCATCCATTACTAAGGAAGATAAATGCGGGATCATTGGTATTAAGTTTAATAATACTTTATATGACATATTTATTTCCATGGGTTATATTATGCATAATGAGTTTGTGAAAGTGTGAAACTTCAAATATCAAAAATGAAGAAACGCTCGACAATATTATTTTAAGGTTATTTGCATTCATTTGTTTCGTGTGTGATGTGAAAAAATTTCTTTTTTTTTATTTGGTTTAAGCAAACATTTTTTCTACGTGAATGACAACAGCTCTATTTTTTTGGAACAAACGTAAAAAAACTCATTGTTTTCTGTTGATTTATAAATACACCAAGCACAAAGATACTCGATACTCATTTATGTATTAAAACACAATTCTTTTTTAACGAGTGTGTAGCGAGATAATATTCGTTAAGTGCGTTGTTCGATTACATATTTACACTTTACTCTCAAAAGTCAAGATGTCTTTAAGAAGTTGTTTAATATTACTATGTTTAGGACGTTTTACTGTTCCGGCATTGACGGTAACACCAGATTATAACGAAGATAATCCACTTATAATGGATCTACGTACTCTACTTGGCAACGAAGCGCAATTCTTCAGTGAAAATACACCAAGGAAAATCGTAAATGAGAACTCCGACGAAGTTGTAATTGTCGGGTCCAGTAAATCGGACGAACCCAGATATTATAATCCTATTAACAAATTTTGGCAGCAAGAAAAGTGTGAACAATTGAAAGTGAACATCGAGAAAATTTTCCAGTACGACCCAGAGACGAAAATTCTCGACTCTCCGACAAGGTGGATTAAAGTCGAAGAGGACGAAAATAGTTTTTTCAGGGCATTGTCTTTATGGGTATGTGGCACGGAGAGCAGCCATCATGTCATCCGACAACGTGTTTCAGAGGTAATAACTAAGATATTGAAATAACAAAAATACAAATATATATGCACACCGTGCGTTTAAAAACATATTATTGTACTAGGTGCTAAAACGTTTTTACGCCGTGTTGTCATTTAAAAGTTTTAAGTCAATACAACTGGTCGAAGTCACTTTGTGCCGCACATAAAAACACAATAATATTAAATCAAATCGCTGGAATAACTTAGCTGACACATAGTTAGCGAATCACTCTGTAGCATGCTATAATATTTCTATACTGCATACAGGCTGCTCACAATGTAGACCATAATTAGGTGTTTGATAAAAACCTGCATAACTAATTACGTGGGTTTTTTTTTATTATCTTGTACTCTAAGTTATAATTTCAGTTATTTTATGGAAATAGAAAAATTATTCAAATCTGTCCCAATACAAGTTGACTATCGATTAAGAAACCGGTAAAAATGTATTGTATTCCTTTAATTTTTAAATATTAGAGCAGTAGAGCATTTATATACCAATGGATACGCAATTAAAGGTCAAGGCAAATGCTCGACTGATGACGGTTGCCAAAGCGACGAAGTACAGTTTTCAGACTTAAGTGTTACAGTAATGGTTATAAATAGTGTAAATTAGTCTAATAATAATAACAATGATACAAATTATAGAATATTTTGTTTATTCGCTGTTTAATAATTATATTGGTTGCTTTTTATAATAAGAATATCTATGTTTACAGGTAGTAAGAACTGATCGACGTATGATAGCTTTTCTAGGAAAAGAAAACCATAGTGCATACTTAGCATCACAGATACCACAAACATGTAAGTCTAAAGGTATTTAATAACGCACAAATTATATGAAGGCATATGGGAAGAAGGGTAGTAGTCCATTTATGACATTTTTTTATTTCAAATAGTTTTTTTCATTATATGCCATTCATTTTTTTTATTTATGTCAATAGATAGTTTAAGTAAATACATTTTTTAGTAGAATAGCACTTAATGTGTTTTTTTTTGTTCTTATGTAAGAGGGAGAAGAATTATTCACGAACTTTGTTTTTGCTATACTCTAAAGTTTTCATACAAGGACTACTACCCTTCTTCCCATGTGCTCTTCATATGATTTATTCATAGTTATATCAGGTTTTGATTAAATTTTTAACACCCCATAGTCTATGTATTGAATAAATTTCTTCCATTTTTCAATTGATGAAGGAATATGCTGATAACTTAGCGTCAGGGATAGCCGTTAATTTGTTTGTTGTAGGTCAATCTTCCACCTTTTTTCGATTCTCGTCCGTAACCTTGTATCTCCGTTGGTACTGTGGCTATTGAATGCAAAGTTAAAGTTGCCTGATTCTTTAAATTTTCTTCTAGGAGGTTTGTGTTATAGATATGTTTTCTAGGTCTGCGGTTAAGATAATATGTCCATGTTATTTTCCTCTATAATCGGGATTGGTACGATTTTAGTGTTAAAAACACGGTCTTCCAAATAACTGTCATTCCTTGAATGTGTCAGCGGTTTCACGTGTCTTCTGTGTACAGAGCACATAACAGTTACTTGATTTAATGACTATTTATGTTTCAAAAATGTATTCTCTAAATATTTTATTGTATTTTAGCTTATGCAACTAAAGTAGAAATAAAGGCATCGACTATTCTTTTGAATACATCGATATATGTGTATACAAGATCTAAACAGACTTGGGATTTATTTAAAAAACACAAATACCCCCCAAAGAAAACAGATAAGTGTATTTATCTTCAGCGTATTTCGGAAAATGGTTATTGCGTTGTGACAGATGTTAAACCCGATCAAGAGTACCAAGGTAAAATTGTCTTAAATATCAAAAATACTTAGGCCTAATTTGGATAACAACTGAATAATTTTAATGATATTGAAGTTTCTGTTATGTTATATATCAATACACAGTATTGTGTACATTTTTTCGTAATTAAATTACAATAGTAATTACATAGGAGAATTTTAACTAAACCACTTACTCTCGAGATGCTTTGTTACAATTGAATATACTTTTGTGTTTCAAAAATATCACTTGGGCTTGATTATTGTTATTAATTCAATACATTACCTAAGAGTCATGACAAAAAATTGCACAGTTTTGTCAAATATCTTGGGATGGAAGAGTTATGTCATTCACCTATGTACAATTTGTAACAATAACTAGCTATTAAAATTGATTAACCAACTTTAAAGTAACTAGTCATTTTAAAATAAAATTTAAAAAATAACTTAAATTATACATGCTATTCTCTTGCATAACTGTTCCCAAATACTTAAATTTCTCTATTGTCATGCTCACCAAGCATAATCGATTCTCTATCTCTCTTTAAAATCTCCTCATTTCTAAACTCTTGAGTATTCTGTTTTAGATCTACTAACTTATTTTTAAAAACATTTCTCCTTTCTTTCCTCTGCAATTTTTGCAAAATAACCCTAATAAAATGCAAGAAAGAAATTTATAATTTTAAAACAGTGGCGAAATAAATGACAATATGTATAACGCCTTGTTTTTATTAAGGATATTTCTTCAACCCTGAGTGGCCACTTGACGATGAAATAAAAAACGCTTTGTTAAGTCAACCGGATGAAATCAGATTTTTTAATCCTGTCGACAAAGATTGGCAAAAGGCAAAATGTGATGAATTTGAAAAATTGGAACTCAAAAGAAATTTCCAGTATGACGAAACACCGTTAATTCTCACCATTCCGAAGAAATTGGTTATAATAACTAAAGACGAAAATTGTTTCTTCAGAGCACTTTCTTATGTGGTCACTGGCATAGAAAACTATCATCAAATTATCCGTCAGCTCGTAACTGATGTATTATATATTTACTATATATTTTTAACTTTAATACTGAATAGTCAAGGTTCTAAATTTAAAACATATCGTTTCAACAAGACGTGCAGGGCTCCCGAATTTTCCCCTCCTGTCTTTAACTTGAAGCGTTAAATGCTCTAAAAGTATTTATTCAAAACTGATTATTGGCCAGTCAACATGCTTAGAAGAATATTCTTAATTTGAAAAGCTAATAAAATAGGTTACTAATTTTAAAAGCTAATGGTAATCTAAAGTTTGAGTATAATAATATAAACTAAACAGTCGTTAATAAGAAAAACTACAAAATTGCAATTGCTATTTTTCCAAAAAAAAAGAGAGTGCTTTAATGAATCACCCTATCAATCGGAAATCATACACAAAGGTACTTTGGAAGACCATGACCTATAAAATTCACCCCTTGTCTTCGAAATCGAAAAAATGTTAGTTTAAAAAAATGGAAATCGTAATATTTGTCTAAACCTTATAATTATTAAGTTGCGTAAGGACAGATTGAACAGTTTGTTTAATAAAATAAAGATATTCATAATTGCAATAATTAATGATTTTTCAAATTGTATGTTAATTTAGAATTCTAAACAGACTAATTGATTTCAATTTGTTATTAGGTTGTTCTTTGTGATACTGGTCTTCAAAATTTATTTAAAAATGAGTACTCAAGCTCAATAATACAAACTAGTGAGTAAATCTTACTGTAATTGTGAATTAACTGTTATTTAAGTTAATTGTACCTCGTTTACTGTGTACTTGTGACAAAATGTCCTAATAATTTTTATTGCAAAATAATCAAAACCTTAGATATTATTCATTTGTTTTAGCTTTGACCACTGACTTAGAGATAATCGCTTCGACTCTTCTTTTGGATACATCAATATTTGTGTATTCACACGATAAACGGAAATGGGACTTATATAACAAGGACATTATTAACAAATCCCCAGTGAATAAAAATGATATGAGTATTTACATGAGCCAATCGTCACCAGATAAATATGATGTTGTCGAAGGTGTAGAGGACTTTTTTGATGATGAAGGTAACATTAACATAATATAATATTATTATAACTGGTGGTTGTAGCTGAGAATACTTTAACAAACCAATAAGAGTTAGTGCCAGTGTTGATACAAAAACATTTTGTTTGACCATAAGTTGAACTTGTATGACACATTTTATCTTTTAGAACCGTACTTAATAAGGGGGGGGGGCTAACAATAACTAAGTGTTAAAAGAAACCAGTCTAAAATGGGCAAGGAGCATCATATTAGGGCCGAGGCAGTCACAGAACTATAGAAATTAATATGAGTGAAATTGAAACTATTATTTATATATATAGTACGATTAAAGAGCTGAAAAATATTAATTCATTGTATTTTTAATTTCAGAGATGCTTGATAATTATTATACATCAGATTTAGACTCTAATGTCATATACAACTATTATTAATGATTATTGGAATTTCTTATGAAGTAATAAAGTACAAATATTAAGCTAATGTTTGTTATTGATTAAAATAGATAGGTTGGATGATATGAATTGTATTATTAGAATACGATTTATTCATAAGCTCGACTAAATAATACAAAAACATTAAAAAATGTATTTATTAAAATCCTGTGTACCAGCTAGCAGTAATATAAAAATTACTATGTATATAATAATAAATACAAATAATTATGTATAACCAATTACCGTTCTCATTAATTTATTTTAAAAATAAGTTATGGATAACATTTTTCTTTAATACTAATCTAAACTAGCTGTCATATTAAGATAACGACATATTGCTATCCATATTAAAGAAATAATTTGTTTTTCCTAAAATCTTAAATATATATTTTAAAACTCCATTAAAAAAAAAAAAAGGTAAGCAAATCCCTATCATTATACGAGCATACAGCCTATCTGTCGCACACTATGAATCATCTTGCTATTAATTGACGGAATAAGATGTAATCAGTATTTGTATATAATATGTACAATGCGCATGCCTCTTATGGCTGTAGGTGAGTTGCGGCCCGAGGTGTTGTTTACGATGTAGGAGACCGGTGAATTGCGGCCCGGCAATTTTCGATGGACGTATGAGTTGCGGCCCGTACAACCTTTTTTATCTTGAAACTTTTAACGCCAATTTAGTTATACAGGACGATTTTTTTAAAGAGATCCACTCAATATCTTATAACCTATAAGATTTAATTAATTTTAAAATTTTTATTTTCGCATTGTTTTTATATTATGCGATCTCGTTACTTTTGAAGTTATTAGAGTGTCAAAGTTAGGACAGATGAATTTTTGTCAACTCAATATAAAATAACTAAAATGACAACGACGGAACCGCTCATCGGCAAATAACATGACGAAACTTGACCAAAAAACACTATTTTTGGGAGATAACTCGGCCAACCTCCCCGTGGTGTCTCCTGAGTAACGCTAATAGGCTAATATAAAGTGGTAATTATTATGTGGCCGCAACTCATACGTCTCTCTCATAAACCTGGGCCGCAACTCGTACTTGATTTAGGGATTGGGCCGCAACTCACCAACACCGCCTCTTATAAATTTATTTTTTGCACAAGTAGATTATATGTACCTTAAATAATTTGTGGTTATTATATTCGATTGTAGTTAGACTTACCATATTGGGAATACATCAATAAAAACCGACTATTGAGTGTAATCAAATGAAGCGCACATGGGAAGAGCGGATAGGTAATAATACATGGATGACAATTTTCTAGCAAAACAAAAACAAAGTTTGTGAAATTCTACCCATCTAATATAAGGGAAAAGGCAATATTATCGAACTGACAGTTTTTTTCCTAATAATGGATCTCGACATTCGATAATAGTCTCCATAACCTAACTACAGGATCTGTACGACATAATATGTTGATTCGATTACCGTGCGTTAGCCACAGTATTATACGTAGTGTAGTTGTACACCACATTGCGAACAAAATATACGTGTTTCGAATGTATTTTATAGTTCAATTATTGGAAAGTACGAAGTCTCTTTACAGTTGAAACTAGTAAACCATGATTTCCAATTTTCGATAATTCCAATTAGATGAATTTCTGGTCGTTTTCATTACTTACCTTTGTTTTCAAATGTTGTGATATGTACATGCCTGACACTTTTTTACCATATCTTATCTTACACATTCTACTGTAGCATCACATTTTAAAGCCTCTATTCTTCTACGTTATCATTTGACTTCAATTGATTTCACCTTGTATATACATGGTTTAAACTACAAGTAACCATTCATTTTATACTTAATGTTAATTCAGTCCTAACCTGGATTACTGATCGCTGATACTGTGAATAAACAAAAAAAAAATAGTAAAATAATGACACAACAACCAGGCGTTTTAAATGTTATATTACATTTCAAAGTAGGAATTACATTTTTTAATGTAGTCATATGTAGCATACACTCAAAAATACATACACAGAACATTTTGCCATTTTAAAATAATACACTGCATTTAAAGAACACAAATAGTAAGACTTAACCTAATTTTATTAATATACAATATTAATTTTAAGCTACTCGAGGAAAATACAATTACACAGAGTTTTATTTGATGTAAATCAATTTTATTAATCTGTCGTTTTAAATTAATAGAAATACATAAATAGTAGACAAATGTCTTTCAATAAACCTCACACAAGTAAGTAGGTAAGACCAGACCAGCTGAGTATTCCTCTAAAACCATTCAAGCATCTAAGCTAAAAGTCGTTGAGATTTTCTATTAATTTATCTCTCTTTTGAGTTAATTTACGTTTATAAGAATTTATTAACATTAGGATTATAATACTGCATGTACACATACTTGATTATTACAAATTTCCTTCTATCTTCTCTGTGACAATAACACACTAGTCTAGTCCACCCCGTACACATATAATAGTTATAAAGCATTTATATTTTTTAGATTATACAATATTACTTAACAAACTTTGATAGAGATACGTTTCTTATACTTTTTCACCGCAGAGATACCACAAAAAGCATTAATTTAAAAGACCTTTAATATATTTGCATTATTTTTATTTTATTTGTTATTAATGAATGAGCGTGATAGTTATAGTGTATTGAGCACTTTTTGGTTTGATATTAACGAATGAGCAAACATTCTTTTTTAAAACAAGCTAGACAAAAAAAAATCCCGTCATAAAGTTATAGAGCTTTTTTTTGCGCAAGTCAAATTTGAACAATGATTCTTTTAATATTTGCTAAAAATATAATAATTTTACCCTTAGAGAATATAATTTCGATTTAATGACTCCATAATTACTCGTCTGGAGCTAACAGTTTCAGCAATGTTTGCTAAACTATGTTAGTTGACGGGCATTAAATAGATAATTGATTCAGTAGAAGTATCAACTAAGTACTTCATTATTTTTTGAGCTTTGACGTTGCATAAATCTTATAAATTAAATTCGATTGGACAATAATTGAGCGTTGTTGTATATTATATGTTTAATGTTCTGGTTGATTATGGAAATTATCCCACGAAAACACCGGGAAGGTCTATTAAAATGTTAAATAATCAAAAAAAAAAGGTATTTGTAAATATTAACTAGTGAGATTTACTAAATTATATTTTTGTATCGCATCTTTTTAGCTTTAGTTTATGCGTACATTTGTTTTACTAACTAGTTTTCACTAATCAACTGAAGAAATTGTATTTGAATTGTGGTATATTCAAACGAAAAAATCGAACCAACGAAAAAACAATCCTTTACGTTTATCAAGATATTCACTTAGAGAGGACATATTAAATTAACTATTATCTACTATCAACATAGTCATAGAATATGACATAAACTGACACAACCTCTCCTTATTTCTTTTTCCCCTTCTATTACCTTTTTAGCTGCACCTATTTTAAAAGTTCATTATTACCAACGAATTTTACAAGAGCCTGAATACGGTTTTTTTCAAAAATTATTCTTATAAATAAAATTGTTTATCACTTGTATAAACTAATTATTATTTATAATTTGTATCTAAACTAATAATACTGAAATCATCTCAAAAATGTATACAACATTTACCTCTGAAGGCGCTGCCATATGCAAAGCTAACAATGTTTACAAATCTATCTTACAAATGGATCGCTCGAATTTTTATTGTCGTCAAAACATGTAATTATAAATGTCTGCTACCAGCACTTAACTGATACGGGTAAGTGTAAACATTCACTGCTTTGCTTATGGCGGAGCCTTCTATCTCGAATACATGCAGCGTATTAAAACGATCATCTAGTTGTTGTATAAATCTATGGTTGTACAAAATGTTTCAGATTTTAAATGTAAACTTAAAATATACTCTTTAAGTAAACAGAGAGTATCCTATATTAAAACAGATGATACTTGACATCGTCATCCATTCTTTGGCATTTGAATTACTAAGTAGGTTTATTATTTGCAATGGTCTGCAATTAAATTTAACCCATGGCCCCTACCATGTGTATTTGAATATAACCGTGGTGGTGGTGGTGGTAATGGTAGACATAGTGGCAGTGGTGGGAGTAGTAGTCGTTACCTGTTGAGTGTTTGAAACCGTAACTTCTGATTCCTGATCACCGTCACTAAACTCAGTTTCGTCAACTGGAGCTGTCGTTTGAGTTAATTTTTTGTAGTTATCAATTGTTAGTAGATTTTCTTCTTCGTTGGATCTCTGGCGAGTGTACTCGTGATTTTTATTAAAACTACAATTGTTTATTTTCTTATAAACCACTTTCTACGAATAGTAAAGAATCGAATTAAATTGATAAAAATACACTTTTTGCTCGTCAGCCTACCTGTTTTGTCCAATTGATATTGACCAATTCGCCTCTATAGACACAATCAACCACCGTCTCATCACAGTCATGGAAATTCTCAAAACTATATGTCTATAATGAAAAAATGAAAAAAAACAAATTTTAAACAACACGTTACTCTTAAAACTAAAATTTGCTTGAGTATAGCATAATTTACGCTTACGGGACCGTCTTTATTTATAGTTTGTGGTAAAATTATTTGTACGTCAGTTATTGCATTGAAGCGTCGCCAAGCCCTAGACAAATATTAGAAGATATTTTAGACATAATATAATGTGTATGTATATTGTATTACAATACTCTAACAAACAAAAGTTCAAAGTATTTATTATACTGAATGCAAAACCATTATCAATGCCCAAAAACCATTCAATTTGCAGTTATTAGTACATTTTCCACTAATCGTCCATTCAAATTATTATAACTGAAACTTGAAAGTGATGAAAGTCACTTTAAAATAAATCATTCAATGGGAATTTATAAAATATAGTAAAATAAATATGCATTCAAGTACTGTTTATTATTACAATAAGAAAACTGCATAATAATCAAAGTTCTAATAGTATTAGATGATAGTAAAATAATCCAGCATAATTTCAGTTTAGATCTCTATTTATTTGTTATGTTATTGATATTAAATATCAAAATACGGATTTGTATAATGATAAAATTTGCTATAGAAAAAAAAAATTAAATATTTATTTTACATAATACATGTAGTACCGCGAGGATTTAACATGATGTTTTAAAAACAGGCGGGTTAAGTGGAATAATAATTACATGTATACAAAAAAAGAGCAAACATAAAAGTAAATCCTTGTAGTGTAATAATATTAATTAACATATATAAAAATTGTAATATATTTCACCTGATGCTATAATAATGAATAACCGACACCAAAACTATAACCAAACATGACCATATCCCGTATTGCAGTACAAGTGGAAATCCTGGGCAAGCATAGTAATTGTTATCAATAAGCATTCATTATATTTAAGTAGTTTTTTAAGTAGTTCTTTATGTTATAAATTTAGAAATTCCTCATACCTATCAAAACACAACTCGTAGAACCGGGCGCAGACCACGGGCCATAATAAGGATTTTCTGAATCGTGTGGATTGAGATTGACGGCTCTTACAGCAACAGAAAACGTCTGTGGACCATTGGTTTTGTCGTAGTCACATTTTGAGACGGGAAGACGGTATGTGTTCGCTTTCAAATGACAAACATTGATTATTACTAATGAAAACATTCACAAAATTATAATATAGGGTGTATTTTAATTGAACGCACCACTATTTACGATTGTGTGTGATGAAAGAGAATCTTACCAGTGAGAGTAGAAGTCGTGGAAACCACCCTGGGTCAACCCTCAACACCTCAGTTAAACAAACGTTAATGCTATCGAAGAATGGCGTATTGAATGGGTTAGTCAAACAGTTCAAATTCCAATCTAGTCCCAGCAAACCACTTTCGCAGGATTCAGGCTGTCTCGTCGAGAATGAATAAAAAACAGACAGTAGGACCTAGTCGTGATGAGGTTACAAAAAAGAAAACCTCAAGAAATCTTGAAATATATCATGGAGTTGACCAAAGAAACTAGAGAGTGGATAGTTAGTTAGACATAAGTTTATAGATTTGAATTTAAGTACACAATTTGTAATGCGGTATTAATTGTTATTTGGTATTTTTTAATGATATGTGTATGTTATTCGACAATATTATTTGTAAAATGATTATATGTTCCAGTCGAAATATGTCATAATAAATAAATAAATAGCTAGAGGTAATTAGAGTAGAGAAAGTTTTTTGAACAGCTATGGAAGCTTAGGAAAAAATAAGTTAAGTGTGCACTGTCAGGGGATTCGTCCCTAGGATGTATTCTCTAATACTTTGATAGTGCGAGTATTAAAATAATGAGTTTTATGGCTTAAGCATAGCTGAGGAGATATTTATTTTATGTAATACTATGATTTGTTTCGGCGCCCACGATAACTCTGGAGCGGATTTATTCGTGTAACAAGTCAATGAATGGACAAATTCTTTATTATTCATTATTCGTCTTATTCATTAGACCAGTAGTTTTCAACTCTACTCAAGGCAATACCCCTCCTACCTCTACTTTTCTAATTATTTATTGACACAGAGTAATTTAGTAATAAAATTGATAAACATGAAAAAAAATTATTTTGCATCGTGGACCATTATAGTCTTGAGATAAGTCGACAGACCAATAGTTGGAAACCACTGCATTAGACGATTTCGTATAACGTTCAATCCACATACACCATATAAAGAATATCATGCCTTACTGTAACTCGTGTAATTAAATCTGTTAAGATTATCTTGAAATTGAGTGGGAAGCATATTAGAAGCCGTAGACCCGCTGTCGTTCTGTAAATTCGATCCGCTGCGATGAACTACAAAGTCCAATTGGTAATAGTTCACTGGACCGCCTGATCTTGTTGGTTTTGGCCAAGAAACTACTATGATAGTACTACTTTCATAAGTTAAAGTCGGCTGTGCCACTTTACCAGGCACTTGGAAATAAAATAAAATATCAGTCATTAAACCGACAGAATTAAATACAATTTCATTTTCCAGCTACTCACTCCCAACATCCGTTTGCACTCTAATTGGTTTTGAACGCTCCGAACAAACTGTGGTACAAGCGGTGATTGCTACATTATAGTATCGATAACTATTCAAATTGCTAAGACGACACTAGAAAACACAATAAATTCTGTACTTTCGGTAGAATTAATTTACTGTGATTATTTTTACCTTGGTTTCGATAACCGTAGCATGATGTTGTGTTTCATCCAACGAATCAATCGACTCCGGCTGACGAATGTCCATATCTCCGTTGTAATAATAAACTTGGTAGTATCTGAGTATACCGTTCATGTACATTGGGACAGTCCATTGTAAGCTAATAGACGTATTCGTCACATTGGTCACGTCGATTTGTAAATCAGTAACGTCGGGCGCTAAATTTGTTCACAAAACACATATTATTATTGTATTTCCCAGTTGGTACATAGAGTCATTTCACTGAAAGTGGTACATAGGTGTCCATGAGTCATCGCCATTGTTTTTGGCATAAAAAGTTGTCCATTTAGGGTACATTTAGGTGAACAAAATGTGTCAATCAGAATCATTAATTTATGCTTCAATAACAAAGTTAAAATAATCAATTAATAGCCACTGCTCTCCATCCCTGGCTCATCCTAAGATCTATGGCTAACCCTTTTAAGACTGCTCCTGGCATAGTGATAGGTCGCCTAAAAAAACCTAGATTGGAAAAGTATTGCAGCATTGTCTGCTAAAGGATGATATTTAGCGAAACCCCATTTAATCAACAGCACACTATGGCGATCATATTTTCGGTGTGGCCCAACATTGGTACCTTTATTTTCTGTCAAGCTTTGAATTAGACACCAAGGTATGGATAGATTTTGACTTTGAAGTAATTATTTAATTTTTTTTTTTCAATTTTCTTATACAATTTTATTACTGAAAATGATCACTTCTCGTGAAATGACCCACATACCATTCATAAGCTATCAGCTTACCTCCTTCAAGAGTAGTGTTGAACAGGGGCTCACTGGGCAAACTTACACCGTGTATTGTAACAAAAAATATTATTACTTTGTAAGTCGTGTGCGAATTAAGCTGTGTGATATTGCCTTGTGACGTTTCTCCGTTAACGGTTTTGTTTATTTGAGCACCTAACAGAAGAAATATTGGATTTCAGCATAGAATTCATAGCATAGCATAAATAATAAATAACTACAATATAATTGAATTAATAACTAGACAAACTATGTATAGATCCTTGTCGATTTACCTATGCAAGTCGAATTATTATCGGTAGAAACTACCGGACAGTAACTTATGACGTATCTCAAAACGGCTCCTGCTCTGTCAGAACAGTCTAATTTCCAAATCAATCCTATGAACGTTGACCCGATCACATTAACCCAAACGTTCTTAATCTTTCCATCGACTAAAAAATAATTTGTGTATATTTTAATTAACTTAGGGCGTGATAATGTGCTATCTTTGCCTATTAAGTGTGTAGGCCAATTACGTTCCGCACTTAGAATCGTATGATTTAATGATTATATAAGAAAAAAAAAAAATTTTACACTAATATCTATCAACTGGAGTCGAGGTTTCTTATTAATTTGTATGAAATCCTCATACTTATCCTTAATTTTATTTAAAACTATTCCACTCACAAGGTAGTAGGTTTTCAGGAGCATATTATTCGATTCTTTATCATAGGTATTTTTTTATTATTTCATTATTTTTCTGTATTTGTTATGTGATTTAGTATGAGATACTTATACCTTGTAGTGTACAATTATAATTTTAGTAATTCAGGAATTTATTTGAATTAGAATATATTATAAGAACTCGTACTTCAATCACAAGTATTTACGGTTATACGAGGTGTACTATATTATAATATTTGTATCGTTAATAAAAAAGTAATACATTATGTTGTTTAAGAAATAAATGAACAAATAATATTAAGTATTATACAGCCCTATAAAGGCTATATCCACATACTTTTATCGTATAACACCGTACACGATGCCCACACCATTCCACTGCTGCTGCTGCTTAAATCGGTATTAGTACGATGATTATTGGTGGACATTTTTTGCGTCGGGCTCTGTTCGTTAGCACTTATGGCAAACTGGTAGATTTTGGTATGATCCTTCATCGAAATGTTGTAACTGGACTCCGACCGAGCAACGTGTACCCAATTTATGTATCCCTAAACAAAACAAAATCTCAGTTCTTTATAATTCCAGCTTTTTTTTTTTCTTCTATCCTAAAAATATTTACATTGCACTGGTACGGTCGATCTTTGTCGTTTTTACACCAGAATATCGTATAGTCTCCAAGCTGATAATTTTGGTCACTGTTGTGCTTCCACGAGAGTTCAAAAACATCTCTTTTGCCATACGCCATTTTGGTAAACGACAACGGCTCGAATATTTCTGATAGCGAAAAAATAGTCGTTCAATTAAAAATCAAACGTATCAAATAGAATCGGCCAGATCCAAAGAGGCTAACTTTTAAATAAATGATAAACCTCAAACATAATTTTATTTATGTTCAGACAGTCGCTTTAGGTCAATATTATAAGGAAGAATATAGAACTAAATTATGTGTTGGTCAGAGTGGTTCGATATCGAGGAGATTTGAATTTTGAATTTAGGATGCCCTAAGTTCGGCTATGGTCTTACAAAATGTGTTTGTATGGCTGACTTTGACATGCTATTTCGAAAAACTTACTATTTTTTTCACTAGCAACGAAAATAGTCGAATAGTCAACCGATGAACCTTCTTCGTTAGTTGAGTATACTAAAAAAATATAGTCAACGTTGTTGCTGAGCCCCTGGAATTTTGCGTAGCTTTTGTACGTTTCGTTGCTCAAATGATAGCTACGAAAAAACAAAAACGTAATTAGAAAATTTGTTAACACATAAGTCTTTCCTATCAACTAATAATAATAATAATAATATATCATCTATTTTTAATAAGGCAGCTGTTAACATCCGATAAGGGTTGAATTTTGACACACACTTATGGTCTTTCTACTCATAGTATTTATCCTAAAACTATTATCTACTGATTCGCCATAACAATTTAGTGGAGGATATCTTTTATGTACACCGTTACCTGTTAATTTTTCTTGAGGGTCGTCAAAAAAAGTAGTATCCTATTACTAGCGTGAAGACACCTAATTAAAAAAGATTACTAGCGACTTCTAAATACACGAGGAAACTCCATTATAAATACTTCACGTAAAAGATTTCCATAAAACTCCGTATGTGGTCCATTCTCCAATGTGTATAAATAATCGTGTACTCAGGAAAAGTGTGTGCTACTTAGTTTAGATAATACACACGAAAATATAGTACATTATTAATTGAATAATTACATTGTTTGATTATTCATCGGTAAAGATGTATACAATGCGCGGTATCCAAACAAATCGCCATACTGCTCACTGTCGTCAAGGTGTTGCCAATAGATAATAATGTCTCTGGTAGATTTGTTGATAGGCGAAGGCGTGCATTCGAAACTGCCTATGTCTGTACGTGGAGGTCTCTTGGGAACTAGTAATAATATATAAACTATAAATTATAATTATAAAGCGAAATTTCTACAAAACCGTTGTGTACAATGTTTGTCTATTTTATCTTTTTCGTACAGTATACTTCTTTTGTGTGGAAGTATTTTATTCTATTTCAGTTCATCCATTTATTTCTCACCTATTTCCTCTCATCTTCCCTTTATCATCGTTGTTATTGACTACACGTCCTTACACACTTGTATCTCAACTACACAACAATTTTGTATGTACACAGTTAAAGTCTACTTATTTTTTACTCACTCGCCGGTTTGGTCTTGAGGGTAATGACTCCGGGAGTCGACCACATGTTTTCGCCTATAGCTACAGACAAACGCAAGTATATGCGAACTGTGTATAGCGTAAACGGATATTTCAAATCGGTAACGTTGAAGTAATAATATTCCTCATTGCGACATGTTAAACTAGAAGCTCGTGTACCGGTCAATATGTTACATAATATTCCACTGACGTCTACACTCTGAAAAAAAAATCTACCAACTTGAAACTAATAACTATACGATTTAGTAGTGTTTCGTTATATTTTTAAGTTTTATCTTTGCTAACTCTTCTCTGGGAAACTCAAAGAAATTAGAAAAAAATCGAAATTTATTTTATATCACAACTTTATGAATCCAGTGTGAAACGTAAGGTTGTTTATGTGTATGTAAAAATGTGCACCCTATCTTTCGGGGATAGAATAGACCCAGTTTAAGTGGTGACAAAAAACAGTCCCTGTGGACTGGAGAAGGGCAGCAATTGAATGAAGCCTGTAGGCGTAAGCGAAGATAGTAAACATCCCTACAAATACAACCCTCTGACGTGAAGGAAACGGGAGACCACCACATTAGCATCCCTAGTATCTTTAGTATGGATTGCCGACTCATTGTAAACGATTCCGAACGTATTGCCAAAAATGTACTCGATGAAACAAATTACGACGCAAATTAATAGGGATACCTATAGGCGCTTAAAGGAATTGAGTTACAACTGGGAAACATGAAGTATTGCAGCAACCCTATCAAATGATTGAAGACGCGTAGAATGGAAAAATGTACACTGTTGATACAGTGAAAAACGAGCGTACTTACGTGCCAATAATCAATATCGTCTTCCCACTGGGACTTGTATTCAATCCTGTGAACCAGGTTACGAGGAAAAGTGGTTATTCTACCGACAGACCATTGAAGCATAGCACTCGTTTGTGTCTTATCCATGACGGTTATGTTAGTGGGACTCTCCGGGATCACTGAATAAGTACAAACAATTTTCAATCGCAATGAATCAAAGAAAAAACGGTAATATGTAATATAGTAACTTACCGTGCGCATAATGGTGAAAACTTATATTAGTTAACGTAGTGCCCAATAGATTTTCACCGATTATCGTGAAATAATAATACTCGTAGGTTGGTCTGTATATAGGAGAAGTGGTAAAATCCCAATAGCAAAAGCTCAGTGTCACGTCCGTGTCTGAGGGGCAACTGCTCGAAGTCCTAATATAAGCAAATGATTAAGTACGGCTACCAGAGAATTATGGTGATTAATCTCACTCGTTTGGAACAATCAGATAATAACAGATGCATATTATAACATTTTGAACATATCCACAAAACAAGTTAAACCTACAGTCTAATTTATTTTACCTGCCACCCGCGCGTCCGGGTAGTTTAAAAACAATTTTGTAAGTAGTCTTCACAGGATTGTTGGGTTTGGTCCAATTGCACGACAAGCTTTTCCAGTACAAAGAAATGCAAGTAAAATTGGTGACTGGTAGAGGCTTGTCTAAAAAAGAAAATATTCCATAGTTTTTCAAAAAATTCAGGGTTTGTCCTACATATCGATACAAGATGTGTAATCCAAATACATTTCTCTACTCTTAACAAAATTCCCTATTTAATCAAAACAAACTAAAAAAATATTATTCAAACTAATGTATTCGCTTGTGAACGTTGGTTCTTCATCATAAACCGTATTAACTTTTAAATAATATTTAAAATTTTAATTTGAATCGATTAATGCAAAAAAGGCCTTAGTCCCATTTTAACGAAAATGAGTTTAATATGTTTTCTTGTTGACATTTTCTCAAAGCGTCGATGTACGCTAAAATTATCTCAGTCACACTACTAGAAATTATAAAAAAATAACAAAAATATTAAATTTGAATAGTATACAAAAAATGTTTATTTGTTTTAGTGAAAGTTTTAAGCCGTTTTGACTAAGGTCATTTTTGCATCAATCGCAATTCATTTAAATGATCATACAAGTCACACAGTTGTTTACTCACATCCCACGGCAACGTGATTCAGACATACTCCAATTTCGGAATCCGAGGCAACACCATATGAGTGTAGTTTGCTGCTTCCAATACTTAACGGTTGTGCGGTGGAATACATGCCAATTAACGATTCTAGAGCCGTTTTTCCGACAACACTACTGGTGTTGGTACTACTAAAGCTTTTTGCTTTGTGTCGTCTATCGCCCAACAGCAACGTGCAGTAGTAAGTATTGTGACCAGCAGGAGGTCTTGACATGAACAGACGAGCCGCCGTCGCGTTAATCACTGTTATGTATTCCTTCGACAGCAGTATGTGGTTTCTGTAGAATAACAGCTTCTGACTTGGTTCGGTAATGTAGTGTTCATCGCCAATGTGATGTTTGAAAAACTTTTTGATCAAATAGTTGTCTGGATCCAACGCGCACGTTATTTCTAGCGGAGTTCCATTGTCGTACTCGAGTACAATGTTGCCTTTGGGAACGGTTCCTATCGCAAGAGAAATGGTTAAATTATTAATCGTCACTGGAAAAACGTAAAGATTGAGAATGAGAACTAGTCGAAGACACAGAAGTATGTCGAGTGGACAATATGGGATAATGCAGAAAAAATGATATGATGTAAGAAATTGCAGAGGAAAAAAAGGGGAAAAAAGGGTGTCCAATCCACTCGCGGGGAACTATGCCCGAATACAATAGTTTTAATACAATTCCCAGTTCAGCGAGTGGATAAAATGAATAATAAATCATTGAATGGAAGGAATTATAAGAAATTAGCTGAAAGTAAATATGACATAGAATACTGAAGTGTGAATGTGTGATGGGTAGTTGGAAATTTGCGTCACGATAAGGTTAATAGTACAAAATATCAACTAAAATTATTTGACACTCATTGAAAAAATTAAAGTAAAAAAAAAAATTGTGAAGTAGACAAGATAGTTTATATTTGATAGCCGGTAATATACATGGTATAGTATTTTAAAAATTAATCAAGCAATGACGCTTTAAAATTTACCTCCAATCGATGTTATTCCCGGACCACAAGTCACTGTTGAATGTACAGATTGAATAAATGATGAACATAATATAAACAGTATTATATGTAAGGTCCGCGTCCATGATGGCCAATTATGTAGATCGTTGAAGATTAATTGTTGCCTTTCCATACTACAACCTTGCAACGGTCATATTCGTACTGTGTTATTGAACACGGCTGTAAAGAAGGTATCATTTTTAGTTTTAGATATGTAAGTACTACAAATAAATAAAATCTACGTTCGTCTAAAAAAAACGTAACTTGCTTCACAGAAGTATACTTTTATAACAGCTAAATTTTTGTTATTGAAACTTACACATTTATTTATATATTATTTTTTTGGATTTACCCTTTACCATATCCCTTAGTGAAACTACGAACATGATGGATTAAAAATTGTCCAAACTATTAATTTAAAAAAATAAATGATAAATTATTGAACATATAAACAAAAAACCAAAATTACGAATTTGATTTTGTCTCTAGACTTTTTTTTTTTATAAAATTACAAGTTTAGTCAACATGTATTAATACAAACCTCGAACTTCGAAAACTTTATGTTTGTACTAAATCTATCAATTATGTTTTAAGATGCATATACAGAGCGAAAACTGTGCAAATTTACTTGAGTAATTTTTGTCTAAATTTTATTTATTTATGCTGTTTTCACGTTCTAAAGTGGTGTTTACACAATAAGTAAATCAGTGTCGTACAATAAATACGACACGAGTCTGTTAATTAGAGATTCCCCCCCCCCCCCATAGCCAGCGAGCAAGAACATAACTAGTGTAAAAACTTTAGTTAATTTTTTTTAAATTGCCAACATTTTGATATAATTGTTTCATGTTGGTTCCACAATCAGCATTTCACTAGCTTTTAGTGTTAGTAAGAGTTATCCAAAGTTGTAAAACAATTCAAGTGAAAATGAATATGTTAAACCAACATAAAAATATTCACATAATACATACTTAATAGTTAATACTCGTGATAGGAATTTTATTTCAATACTAATTAGATAGCGGACCATAATTAATATAATTAGTAATAACTATGAATCTTGTCGGATCTCGTATTTATAAGTACTTGAGAAATACAAATATAGTAATAAATAAATATATAGAGAAATAAATATATATATAAAGAAATAAATATAGTATTTATTTCTTTTTTAGTTTTTAGACTATCTTTATGACAAATTGTGGAATAGCTAAAAAGTATAATTGTTATTTATTACCAACGGCCACCCAAAACGTTAAAGGGGAGAACGGCGACGTGAATTTAATAAAGGCGGTGGTAAGGGTATTGAACTTGAAGGGAAGACCGACGCACAGTTTTTTCCCAGGAAATTTTTATCGTTTAACCGACCCACCCCTAACTTACGTTGTTATAAACACAGCCGTTGCCTAACAGAGATGCCAATGCACATGAAGTATCGATCGGTCGTTTCGAGTCAACAGAGGTCATGGAAGCCGTCGACACTGAGTTTGGAGCGAATGTTAATAAATTAGTTTGCAAACAACTTCCCCTCGCGTTCCCCTCAAGACAATTTCCCGGTCGGGGCGGCGCCACAATCGAATCAGAAATCACCTGTTTGCTGGTTGACGCAAATAAAAGGCTAAACTAAAAACTCCTAACAACCCGATTCTGAAAGTACCATTAGTAATCAGAGTATATTTTAAAGTTCTGATGAGCATCGTTTGTGTTATTGGAAAATTGTGTATTAGATGCGTAACTCGAGCTCATGAAAATAATTATTTCTAAGTATCCCAACCAATGAGGCCTGATTTAATTAGTAGGCCTAATTAGATTATCGGCCGGGCATATATATTTTATCCCAGTCCCTGGTGGACAGTAGTAAAAACATAGAAATTTTATTTATTTTACGTTGAGTGTGAAAAAAAGCGGCGAAAAGTATAAGCGTAAATCGCAATCAAAAATATAGAAAGCTGAAATCAGCTTTCTTATAAAAATCACTTAATGAATTTACGTATGGAAGGAAAACCCCACTTAATTTATATCAATCCCTCCGAAAAATGTTGTATTAGCTTCGATGCGGAGATGCAAGCTCTCCTGTTTCCAGCTTTTCTTTTCCCCCCAGAAGAGGTAAAAACTTTTTTTTTACTTCGCCTTTTTTTGGTGTAGCTTAAATTCTGAACATTAGACTGAACATACATTTAACCCAATAACATATTTAAATTTTTGAAAAATTCGTAGTCAAAATTTTTCTTTGTTATTGAAAATAAAAAGAAACCTCTAAAAACTTGAATTCAAACGCAACAATTGGTATATGTTTAATATAGTAACCTGTTAGCATTCACTTTCTGCAATTTTTTTTTTACTTAATATTTTTTTTTATGTACATGAATCACACATTCACCATCTATTGTTTTCCATTGAAGCGTTTATTTAAAAGTGGTAATGTCACTTTCAGGTAGGTTCATTCAATTAACGAATATTTATTGTTATTAAAATAAATAGCATATCTAATAACATCTATGTTGACTATGCAATATTTAAAATTCGATTTACAGTCAACACAGAATTATTTTTACTTAATAAAATATACAGACAAATATAGACAGATATTCGAAAAGTAGGTTATACCTTATAAATATTAAAGGGTTTAATTAAAATATGTATTTCAGACATACAATTATTATGTCTAAAATATTAAAAAAAAATCTAAAATTTTAATTTGGAATATTTGTTTATAATATTGTTCAGTAATATACAAGTAGAATTATTCTCTAACAAATAACAAGCATAGAGCCCTATTTACGTGATGTTTGTGACGTTTAAACATTTTTTTTTATAGTGAAAAAGAAAAAGGTTTATTAATTTTTTTAATTTTAGACCAACAAAATCTTTACAAAATTTCGCCTACTTGGTAGAAACCAATTTTTACTTTTTTAGAATAAAACAATTGCGTTTTATTTATTATAACATTTTGCAAAATTCATCTCGAAAAATTTAATTACTTCGAAATTTGGTTTCCAAAAAAACCGAGTAGAAACTAGCTAACTCTTAATGAACTATGAAATCGGACCTTTTGAAGTAGTAGACATTTTGTAAGGGTAATTTGTCTACAAACATCTAAAACTAATATTAAAAAAACTATTTTTATTCTTAAGCTAACACAAATTAACGTGTTTGAAATTTATTTAATCTTTTATTTGGTCAAATATTGCCTATATTTTGCCCCTGAAATAAATACCTGTTTCTAAACCTTGTCAAAACATATTATTCAAAAATGGTTTTGTAAAAAAAAAACACCATACCCCTTTTTTGTCCCAAGTATGTGAACAAAAATCTTAAATGTAGGTACAGTGTTTTCCCCCTAAAATATTACTGATTTTAATATTAATTGTGTAATCTTACCGAAAGTTATGACTAAATTATTCGCGAGACACTAGTAGGTAGATGATATATTTTTGATCGGTTTCTTCAGAATTGTTTTTTTTTTACTGTGATCACACCTGAAAAGTCACAATAATATTTCAATAATATTGGAATATTGAGTTTGTATTTTTGCAATATATGATGTTCACTTTTGTGATCGTTTGGTTTATAATCGAGTGAATATTACATTTATTCATGCGTTTTTTATTTGTTTTTACAATTATTTGAGGCATTTAGTGCTAGAAAAGCTTAACCCACAAATGAAAAATCCATTATTTTATTATAGGAAAGCCAACTGTAATTTTTTAAATCATCTCATTTTTTTTAATACAATTTCCAAAAAAAAGAAAATTTTTCATTTAGTGGATCAATTTTTTTTAGATTTTGGTCAGTTTCGAAATATCATATTATTCTGAAGTGTTTTTATTGTAATAAAACGAAATTTAATTTTTCGAGGTATAAGCTTTTCCGGCGCTATGCGCTGTATTTGTAGACATATTTTGTTGCATACCGACAAAATTGCCAAACGTTCTTCACCGAAGCATCCGCAATTGACGAGGGACGACTGTGGACTGACAACTGTTGGTTGGTTGGTCCGCCCGGGCTTGCACCAAATATTGTATACTGTACTTGGGGCTGTAGATTTTCGTGACCACCTGTAGTCACGGGTTACGGCTGGGAAATGAAGTACGTACATCGCCCGCACAAAGATTATTTTCCAACAAAAACTTATATCCAAATCAATGAGCAGCTAGCGACATCTAGTAAGCAACATACAACAATGGTTCGGATGAACACGAGAATGTATATTTTCACGGTAATAAATATAGTGTTTATGATATTGGTCGGTAGAAGCGTTAATGTTACTTGGATTTTATGGCCAAAAATTTGATAAGGCGCATCCTGAATATTCGACCGGCGACCATTCCTTGGACTATTCAACGTTGTAATAGCAACTGTTGCTGCATCTGATCTTTGGTACTAGTATACAACCTCACGGCTATTCACCAATGTATGAATCACGGTTTAAATGGTGGTAAAACAAAATTTGGCCAATGGGACGATAATATTTTTGTTGATAACGATTGGCAATACATTTTGATAACATACACGTGACTATAGTCTACTGTCTATATCGACTAAACGCAAAACTCGTGAAATTTTAGTTGTTACTCGTTAGGCACGAAACGAATTTCGTGTTATTTATTTTAACTAGTATTACAAAGAATCTATAAATCGTTTTAACTTCAGTTGATTGTTATAATGGGGAAGTTTCGCAAAAAGTTGAAATCTAAGGGCAAACGATGGCAAAAAGGACAAAGCTCGGTAACAAATCCAGAAACCAAAAAGTTTCGCTCACAAGCTCAAACGAACTTCTGCAAACCAATGTTCGGTGTGTATACTAATTACTATGTTATATCAGTCCGTTTTCTAATTATAAACATTAAAATAAACATCAATATTTTTCCTCTAAAGGTTCAAATCATTTAGGTGATGGGAAGAGCCTGTTGACTGAAAACACTCTTAAACAACACAACAGCATTACAAATGGCTTAAATGGGTTTAAACCTGATGATGCGATGTCCCAAACAAGCGCGTCAGGTGCAACTTATAAGACGTTTGAAACGTTTGCTTCAGATTGGAGCTCATGTACAAATCCATCATTTAACAGGTGATTTATCACTCCCAAGAAGTAGTATTTTCAAAATATTGAAAAGATATTACTTTTCTTCTAAACTGTTAAAAACACACTTTTAAAGTGACTACAATTATTATCTTATCTTATTATTATCTTATTTATTTACTGTTGATAATTGAGGGGAGAATATAAAGTAACTTGATAAGAATAATGTATTGCCTTATAACATTTTTAAAAATTCGGAACAGTATGAAAGTAAACAAAGCGCAGAGTTCTGTAAAAGATCGCTATGGTTATGGTTTGTTGGTTTTCCCGTAGGAAACTTAAAATCTCATTATGAGGTTAAGACTTTGTGGTAAAAGATCCCGAGAAAGTGTTTGAAGGGACACAATTGGAAATCAAGTTTGAGAAAGAAAGATGATGAAATATTGTAGCGTGGCTGCAATCGACCTATAAGAGGACCTTAGCTGTTTATGATGATAATTAATGGAGACTAATTCGCTTGTGTTCTAATATTTTTAATGTGTTGTACAACAACAATATTTTAATAATTTTTCATAGAAATTAAATAAAGCCTATGTCTGTGTTTTATTAACAGATTATTGAAAAACTTCAGTTCAAATTCGTTTTTACATAAAGAAATGTTAGCTATACTAGCAGCCCTCACTGAAGTCATCAAGGATAATGGTGGTAAAGAGTCTTCTACTGAATATTTTGCTGCGCTTGTAAGTTTTAAATTGTATTAAAAATAAAACTATAATGAGCTCTCATTTAACCAAGTATGGCTAGTCATTTAAGTGATAAATTGTCACCGAGTAGATTTTGATAGTGTCATATTCTCAATAGACTATAGATTAATTTCTAATTTACGAAAGAATTAATTAGGTATTTAATTATATTTTTCGTAATTATTTAATTAGATCACTACTCTACAAACGACGTTGAGTAACGCGCAAGATGATTGTGAAGATAGTATCACGGCCATGGTTACATTGTTGAGCATGGGTATGAAATGTGTACCCAAGGAAGTACTTTGCGCCAAGTTTGGAACTACCGCTCAAACGTTAATTACAATACTCGGCAAATTTGCTGAATCCGACAACAACAATTTGTTAAAATCGGTTTGTCTAATTATTCAATTTTTATTTTTTACTCGCTCGTTTATCTAAAACCAAAACTTAATGTCATTTTAGATGTTTAGTTGCTTATCGTTGTTACTTCGTACTCAAGAAAAAATTGTTTGGTCGCATAGCTCTACAATACAAGTATATGATGCAATTTTAAATTTTATCATACATCCCAAACCTAAAGTAAGCATATATAATATTTTGTTCCATCAAATAACAGCGACTTAAATTTTATCAAATAATTACAGATTCGAAAGGCAGCACAACACGCTGTTTGTGCTATACTGAAAAGCAATAAAGACTCAATCCATCCAATGTCTGGATATACAGCATCACATTGTACACAAATATTAACGTCGGTCGGCACAGCGACTAATAGTATAACTACTATTCTTCATGTTTTGACATTACTAAAAGAACTAATGCCCGTTTTTCCAAAAAAAGAACTTAAAGTATGTCAATTTTATGATTTATTTTTTATCGTTCACAATAAATAAGGTTTAAATAACTCATAAATATTTTAAATTGACTATCACTACACAAATTTACTTTGACCGTTATTAACAAAAATTTGTTTTCTTGTTAACATAATTAATTTTTTTATTATCGTAATTCATTTTATTCTCGAAAACGTAATAAGAATGGAGAGTGTATTTTACCATTTTGTCAAAATAAACATATTAAAAAGTTCAAACAAATTTGGAAATGTTAACTTTACCAATTTATTTTTATTTGATTAATAAAGTCAAGTTAAATTAAGTTCTTGCCTATAACCAATAAATAAATACAAGATGCTAAATCTGACCCCTTTTAAATGTTAGTTGATTAAACAAAAATGTTATAAAGGTCTTGTAAGGTGCATTTATACCATAAAAAGTTCCTATTTTTTTTTTTTTTAATATATCTATAATATATAAAAGTTTTTTGTATGTTAATTTTTTTTAAATTACAAGTTGAGGTATTTAGAAGTAAAAAAAATATGTCCCTTGAACATGATCCAACTACGTTACTTCTTTAGGCGGTCATTGTGTCTCCAATTAAACACTATTAATCCTTAAACCCTAAATATAGCATTGAAATTAATCTCAATTGAAATATTTATTAGTAACTATTATTCTATATTGACTTGTTTTCAGCCTCTTTGCGAAGAAGTTTTAAAATTGATGACGTTAAATCATCCATTGTTACTGTCTTGTGGTTTTCAAGTGTTTCACGGACTATTTGTTTCTTACCCTTCACCAGAGCATAATCTTTCATCGACATTAAATGCTAAATTGTTAACAGCGCTTTTTGACTACCGACCCACGCCAGTTGATACTCAACCGACTTTAGCTTGGTTGGCCGTACAACAAGAAGCATATATATGTCTCTCAAAGTAAATTGATATTTAAAACAAATAGTGTAAATAATATAAAAATATACCAAATTGTAAATTGATTTATTTGCAGGAGCGATTTACCACTGTGCATTTCTAATCTTAAAAAAATGTTCAGAGTGTGTATTGAACTATGGGTTGGCGGAAGCCCAGAATCATTAAGAGCCGCCGGATGTACACTGCGAACGCTTATCGAAGAATGCATAGGACAGGCCACGGATTTAAATTATAATCCAGCAATTGCTGACTTATTTAATTTAGTCACACAGTGTTTGTCGTATCAGTATAAAAATGCTTGTCCTCAAGTTTTACATACAATATCTACATTTTTTAAAGTAAAATAGATAAACGATCATGTAAATATAAAATGTGATGTAATAATTATTTGAATTTTTTTTCAGGCTTATGGTAAACAAGCTCCACATATATTTTTAGACTGTGTGAAGTCATTAGGCCAACTCAGAGACTCAAATGAAATAACATTTGTCAACGAACTGGAAATGACCATAGGAGCTGCTATTAAATTTATAGGTCCTGAGCATATAATTTGTGAAAAAGTAGTTCCCTTAAAGGTATAATAGTAAATCATTGACATTTAGAAATATTTCATTATTTTGTATACATTTTTTTGTATTTTAAATAATAAGAAAAATCTAAAACTTATGAAGTAAAAAGAAAAAAAAATCTATCAAGTTGGTAGAAGAGAAAAAATTAAATAAATGAGACATAAAAAATACCATATTTTTAAGTATATTTTCGAATAAAAATTTTCAATTCTTTGCATTACTAGGAAAAATCCAAATTCATTTTATTATTCTACAATAATCAATCAATCATTATTACCAACAGTATCTTTATTATTATTGTGAAATTTAATTAAACCTTAAATTTAGGTTGATGACGTTGGAGAATTCAAACGCAGTTGGTTGTTACCTGTTTTAAAAGATGGTATATCCAACTCCACTTTAAAATGTTTTGCTGATCATTTTTTGCCATTAGCGCTTAAATGTCGGTAAGTAAACATGCTCGGCGAATGGAAACATTATTATTTTTAAATTTTGTCATAAATTCCTTATTATATTTTTTTTAGTGAATTGTATGAAAATGCGTTAAGAGCCAACGATAAAGTTGCCGGCATTAGTTATGATCTCCTCGAATCACAAATCTGGTCTTTGTTGGTTAGTTTTTGTGCAAATCCATCTGATATAGCGCAATCGTTTCGGGTAAGATTTATAACGATCATTTTTTTGGCCATCATAGTAATTGTATTTTATGCTGTAGAATATTGCAAAAACAATGGGTACAATTTTGAGTTCTCGTAAAGGATTGAGAGACACAATCCTTATATCTTTAAGAAGACTTATAGATTCGGCGTCTAAAGAAGACTCTTCGCCTGACGACAAACTTCAACTTGGTTATTTTGCTAAAAACTTTTTACCAATATGTCTGAATTTGTATACAAATCCTGCACGCGGCACTGACGAACAAGCCACAAAGGTTTCTGCGCTGGAAACGATCAAAGTAATTATAATTTTGTTTATAATATTGTAACAAAGTATTTATTTCAATTTTTATTATTTTAGGTGTATCTAACATTGGCCGACAACGTGTTAAAAGAACAATTGTTCACCAAGTGTTGTGGTATGTTGGACGATTCGAAAAACGCAGAAACCGAAGTGTTGGAAAGCATTCTTGATATAGTGAGAGTATTGGTTCCTTACCAGCCTGTGAAAACATTAAAATCATTTTTCGACTCCAGAATATCAAAAGCTAAACAACTGAAAAACTTTAAAGAAGAAAAAAAATTATTTAGGTAGGCATTTTAGCTGCTGCATTTCAAACAGTCATTACAATTGCTCTATTTCAATAATTTTTTATGTCTAGAATTTTGGAAGAAATCAGTGCATCGCAAACTCCCACTTGTGATCGTTTTATCAGAAAAAACATGGAAAATATACGTAACTTCATACTGTCAACGGCTCAAAGCGCTGCTGCAACCAGCCGAGGAGTATGCACGTTTAACAAAATATTTAGATCTTTTCTAAAAAATGTATAAAACTATTTTTCAGCCTCGATTACGTTGTTTATCCAATCTTCTGGATCGTATCGATGAAGAAGGTTTGATGCAAAATATTTTAGCTCATTTGCCAGAAGCGGTCCTTTGTTGTAAAGGCTCCAATGTAAACAAACGTTGTCGTGAATGTGCTTTTCAATTAATAAACAAAATGGCTACCAGAGCTGTTAGTATTGAAAATGGAATAGACAACTTTTTGAACGCGTTAACAGCTGGATTGGCAGGTTCCATTCCCATGATAAGCTGTACAGTTCTGGCCGTAGCGTCCGTTCTGCATAACCATAAAAGTATGATCATATTTAAATTTACCTGCTATGGTTTATGTATGGTTCAATTAATTTAATTGTATTTGTGGTGCTTAGATGCGATTAGCTCGAATCAATTAGAAGTCACAATAAGTAATATTTGTTTACTTGTTACGACCGGAACCAGAGAAGTGGTCAGTTCGGCTCTTAGTTTTTTCAAAGTGATTATAGCGTCGTATTCAAATGACTTATTGCCTCACCTCTCTTCAATAGTACGTAATTAGCGCTAATAGAGTACTCTTTTTCTTTTTTCAATAATTGAACATTTTGATTTATTGCACTTTTAGGTGGGAGCTCTGTCGAAAATGACAGACGATTGTAAACGAAAATTCCGACAAGAAAGTAAAAATATTTATCAAAGATTACTCCGCAAATTTGATATCCAACTTATTATTAAATTTGTACCACACAACGACAACCAAACATTGGTGCGTTTACGTGCAATGAACAAAGAGTCAGGACGTTTAAAGAGAAAGAAGGAAAGTCACGCTAAAGAAAAGAAGGATAGTAAAACTGAAACCGATTTCAGTCTCAAAACCAAACCTAAAACGTATGTATATAATTACAGAGAAAATTGACGTTAAAGATATAAAAACGCCTTTAGTTACGTATTTTGTTTTTGTAGTACACATCATTAACTATATTACGCAAGCAGCATCCGTAATAGTATCATATTAATAATTGCTAATTTTGATTTTTTAACTTGATTAGCTTTGAAGAGATATTGGCAGAATGTGAAGAAGATGATGATCTATTAGAAACTAACAATGATAGAAAACAAAAACGCAAAGATACTGGAAAGAAAAAGAAAATGGCTGAAAACTATTTGCATGAAAGCGAAGATGATATATTAGACTTTACGGAAGCAACGACAAACAGGAATATCTTACGTATGTTATGTATTTTTAATTTCATCAGAAATATTGAAGTGGGAATGATAGTGTAGATAAATTTGATTCTTGAACTGTGTTAGCAAAATATTTTTAAAAAGATGACAATTGTGCTTTAGGATAAACTAATAATATTTCCTCCAAATTCTCAAATTTTTTTTTACTGCGCCTTTTTATTTTAATTAAATGTTTAACAATTATTTATTGAGTCATATAAAAAATAATTATATTTTACATTTTCTAATGATTAGTTGTTTTCCGGTAAATAATAAATAAGGCAGCGGATTGCTTGGTAATGTTAACCTCTGGTGGTATATTATGTCTAAATTATAATTGTTTTTACAGATTCAAAACCAACGAATAAAGAAGATGGAAGAAACGTGTATAGAAAAGACGATGAAGTGAAAATAGCACCTGATGGTCGCTTGATCATTGTTGACGAACCATCTACTCAAACACCAAAAATGGGTAAATTAAAATTGTTAATTTGATAGTACAAAATATTACATTTCAATGACTTACAATAACCTGATCATTATTTCAAAAAATTATTTATGAAATTTTAGTTTATAAAATTGAGTTATGATTAAAAAAATAGTAATAATATTAATAACATAGCCATTTTTTTTATATATATATATATATATAGCCTTTATTAATAAAAAATAACAGCCATTTACTTTCACATTTTTACAGAAGTTGACAAAGAGGAGTATTCCAGTGACGAAGATGTAACATCAAAAAATAAACCTAAATATACCCGTAAGAATAAATAAAAATTAATGTTAATAAAATGTATTATGTCTGACAATAATATTTTTTTGTATTTCAGCCGGAGGCAAAGGAATACATCGGCCGTTGTCGAAAAATAAAAGGAACGGAAAAGAAGTAAAAAGGTTAAAAAATAGTCCACGAGTTAACAATAAAACTAAAGGGAAGAAACAAAAAGGAAGCGTACGACCGTTTTCTTACACTAATTTAAGTAACTTTGGAGAATCAAAAAAAAAAAAAAATGTAAATAAAAAAAACAAGTAAATAGTTTTAATTAAAACAATAACAACTTTAAAAAATTATAACATGTTTTTTCTCTTTTTTGAGTATTTGTTTATTATTAATAATCAACTAAGTCACAGTTACACCTAATATTGAAAGAAAAAAACAGCAAAGCGACCGATAGTAATATGTGTCGCAGGACTTAAAAGCGTTATCTGTATTGTACTAGGGTACTGATTATCGTATATGTCTGATTCTTCCACGTTCAAGAACATGAAAACCACCATGCCGCAATTGTCCAGTGTGCCTTATCGTCAATGGCCTTTTACACATTGCATTATCTTAGAACATTTTAATACCTTGCAAAGAATAATACGTATGTTTTATTATGTGTACGTGATTAAAAATAAGTATACCGTTACTAAATGTGTGTGCCTAAATTTATGACGAATATTAAAAGTAATAATTTTATTGTTTCATTTAGGTAAATCAAATTTAAATCTGAAAATCTGATAACTTGTCCAGTTGACGGATAGTAACTTAGATAAATCCAAATATTCCCAACAAAATTGTTTATTAACATCCCTGTGAATTTTGGGTTAGTATATAATTGTATTAGAAAATGTTGATTGATAGAAACTTATTTTTCTTGCTCTTAGAATTGGCGTAACTGCCGTTTCTTGGGGTCCGACCCCTCCCGTTAGGAGGGCTCCAGACACTCTTACTTCTTTATTGCTACTATTCATAATTCTATATTCCACTGATTTTCTGTCAGGGTTTCCTTCCTTATATGTTTTTGGACTGGAGGTCTAAATGGAATTGGATGCCACTCCGCCCATTTTTAAGAAGTAAAGAATGTACAAAAACTTGATATTATGTCAAACAAAAAAACATTGTACAACAGTATAAAACAAAATGTTTTTAATGTCTATAAAAAAAATAATACCTATTTGTTATTACTGGAGAGATAGTTCAGGCACAAACTGTTTAACGCCAAACCAATTTAAAATGTTTCTATAGTAAGGTATTGTTGTAGATATAAATGATTATTTAAAAATATCAGTTAATTTTATGTATGTAAGTAATTAAGTTTTAATATTTTCCTAAATTTTACTCTTTTTATACTATATAAATAATAATAATATAAACATACATTTAAATTACCTGTAGTTGAAGAATGCTCTCCCAAAAGCCGCGTTTTTCATGAGTTTGTCGTCTCGGCAAACAAAATCCTCTTAATGAATGTTTTTTATTAAAAAAATCACATATAAACAAAAGAAATTCCTCAAGAAATTACTAAATTTTGTCAGGAGGAAAATTGTTTGAGTTGACAAAAAATTAAAACTAACGCCTACTGTTTATTTATCGGTTAGGCGATTGTATCTTTTGTCCGTTGCTAAGAAAATTATTTATAAGTATGATAAACAAAATAAATTGTTTAGAAAAATATATACAGAATGAGTACAATAATTATTGTTTATATCTATAATATTGCTCGTATCTAATACCCGAAGTTATGACTAATTATTCCATTAAAATATTGTATTGTTTCTGTTAATTATTATTATAATAATTAACCTTTCTTTATTGGTAACGTTATTATTATTATAATTTCATTCGTTACTCGAAAGCAACAACTAGTTTACTGTTAAGTGAATTACGACTATTGCTTAACTGTATTATTCTCCCCGGATTGTTTAATTTTTGTGTAGGTTAGGTTGCCTATCTATTAAGGGGCCTCTACATTTGCGTATTTCTGGTCGAAAACAACTGATTCTACTTTAAACGTACTTTTTCTAAGAAAACTCCGATTTAAGTTTTGAAAATATATATTAGAGTTTTTCATAACATTTTCAAGGCATCGACCATGGCACAGTTTTGAAATTATTTTCAGATAATTTATTATTTCAATATAAAAAATTGTGATTTTAAACTTTTTTTTTTAACTGAAATAAATAATTAACAAAAATTAATTTCAGTGTTTTGACGCAGAAAAGATTACACTTACTACTATAATATAACTGGTATAATAACTTTAAAATTATTTTCATAATCGTGGCATGATCGATGCCATGAAAATATTGTGAAGACTTCATTCAGACAAAAATCTATAGCCAAAATTCGTTTTTAAAAACCAATTTAATAAAATTATTTTTCCACAGTGTGACGATGTACAAAACGTACATAATATTATGCGTACATTTGCAATGACTTATTTTTTCATGTTACAAATAGACATTTGGATTTACGAATAGATTTGGATTTGAATATACGTTCAAAAAAAAAAAGTATTGCGTGCGAATTATATAATGAAAGAACTAGAAGTTAGTTATTCATATTTAAAATATGTAAAGTATATTTCTGGAACAGCTGTTTCTGGATTCCTAGTTTTATTGTATAATTACACTTTATTTTAAATATTAAAGGCATTGAATTGTACCTACTAATAGGTTGACCTGAGAAAGTCCACAAATGTTATGCCGCCGTTTTTTTCGGGGGCTGTTTATTCTTATGAGTTATGAGAAAAACGGGGTATCATATTGTAAACATTGATAACACAAGTTGATAATTGATTATATTTTTTAGTAAATAGTAAATACTTTAATAGTACTAGTAAATTTTTGTTAAAATGAGCAAGAAGTCGTGCTGTGTTGTAAGATGCAACAACAATTACAAAAACACATCAAATGTAAAGTTTTATAATTTTCCAAACAGACCTCACGAACGAGAATTAAAACAAAAATGGGTTACAGCTGTTAATAGAGCAGCGTAAGTTGATCAAATTAAAATTGTTAATAAACAGTATAAATTTACTTTATTAGACACCATTAATATTATTTCTTTTGATTACAATAAATAGTTTTGTAATAAAGGTGTCGGAAAAGTACATTTTTTTTAAATGAAGGGCTGCGTGGAAAAAATATCAATGTCAATTTTTTTTTTGAAAATGAGATTTTGGTTTCAAATTATTTGTATTGACGTATTGTATCTTTTATGCGCTCAAACCAGGGAAAAAACAAATTAGTCGAGAGTAATGACCGTCGGAAGTTTAGGCAAAATGTATTATGTTTTGAAATTAAAAATATGATTTTCTCAGAATGAAAGAAAAGTGACATTGATCTTTTTTCCCCGCAGCCCTTCAAATAAAAAATGATCAACAAAAAAAAATCTAGAAATTTTATCTTGCATTTACTAATTTAATATTTCAATAATATTTCTAGCAAAGACGGTCAATTGTGGTATCCAAAATCATATACTGTCATTTGCAGCGAACACTTTGTTGGCAACCAACGTTCAAAACATCCCGACAGTCCATCATATATACCAACAGTGTTCCCTGGAAATAACAAACAACAAATTGTTGACGCTCAACAGCAGATCGCCAGGTACGAGCGAAAAATGAAGCGTCAAAAAAATGTAAAATCTATGTTAAATACTAGTGAACCTGTAGGTATAAAAATTTTAGAGACTTTTTCGTGTCAAACCGCTGATTTATGTCGTACTGTTGTATCACAAGTTCTGTTCGACTTCAGTGACGCTAAAGAGTTTATATTTGAATGTAATTTTAATAAATCCAATAATAATGTTGGCACACAGGCAAACATTCCAATATCTTGTAATATTTTTAAAACATCCAAGACTAAATCCAAAGATGCTGCATGTGGTCCTAATGTAACAAGTTTAAACAATGGCTCGTTTCTTGATTTTCATTCGATAAAACTCGAATCACAATTAAAAGACTTGACCGGCACTACTTTTAAAGTATTTAACCTGCTACTTTCCTATATACCCAATTGTTTTTCTTTTTGTAATACAATAACCAAAGAAAACAGGCTAATGATTTTTCTTATTACAATCAAAATGGGTTTAACAAATTCATCAACGGACCCTGATCGATGGATTAGTGTGCTCTTAAATCTCGAATGTGCTACTGTTTCACAAATATTTCACGATATTCTTGATTCTTTAGTCAGTAAAACAAAAGATTGCATTTTTTGGCCAAACGAACAACTTAAACAAATCCATCCAAACAATATTGGTTGTTTTACAAACTGCACAATGGTAAAAACAGAAAGTTTGAGTATAGTTGAGGAACGTGTGTTTAGTTGTATACAGGGTATAAATATGCTTGTACAATCACAAATGTAATTGACATAATTGTAATAATATTTTAATTTCCTTTTCCACAATGTGGTAAGGCTAATGACAAATTTATTAATGATATTAATTTTTTATTAAACTATAAATATAAGATTTTTAACTTGTCGATAGAGTATTTTTTTAATTTAAATTTATTTCTGTAAATTATATTGCTATTTGTACCTATTGTGACATCAAGCTCTGACATCCTAATTAAAGTAAAAATATTGTTATTCTTTTAAAAAACCCTTATAAAATTTTAGACTTGATGCGATAACTTTTATAATGGTGTTTTTTTTTTGTGTCTGTAGACACAATTAATTTTTTTCCTGTGTACTGAATTACTCGTGTAGGACCTCTATAAATCCAAAATAGTATGCTTACATCTACCCTCGTGATTTGCATCTTACTCTATTCTTGTTCCATTGGTTTATATGAACAATGTATACAATAACTAGACTACATATTTAATATATTATGGTGTAATTCTAAAAATGGTATATCTTTAAACAATCACCAATAAAGCGTCTAACAGTTATCTTCTCTTTATTGCAAATTTTTCTGATGATGTTCCCAAATTGGTTTAAATTTATGCCCTCTAAAATAGAACAAAAATTAATAGTATACATACATCGTTAGAATATAAACACTAGTTGCCCAGAAAAAAAAATACTACGTACTATACCAGGGTAATAAGCTAAAAGTTATTTCCTTTGCGATCTACAAGTGAAAATGTCACACTCATACTAGTTATGAAGCTAAAATTTACATTTGTTATAACTTATTATTTATAACTACAACAAATGTAGAATAAAATGAATAATACTATGGTATACAGCGAAAAAGATAAGGACCATATTAAAATGTTGACAAGAGTAATTTTTTTCTACATTTTACCATAGTATACATAATCAATGATTTTACATTTTCCGGACCACTTAGATCAAAGTTTATTTGATAATAAATATTTAGATATTAAAAAAAAAAAAATTGTGAAAAATGTTATACATTTTACTTTTGGTAAGTGAGAATGAAAACATGAACCTCCTAAAACCAACAGCCTCAAAAATCGCATTGAAGCAAAATAAAAATATTGCACAATAAAGATAGTAAACTTTCATGATTACTTAGGTTAATTTCTGCAACTTCGTCTTTTTTGAATTCTATGTAATCCATATTTGGTGGGTAAAGCTTCTTGATATTATCGACAGTAATTTTACCTCCATTAATATTTTTGCAATATTTATAAAAGTATTCTATAGTCTAAAAAATGTAGAAACGTGTCATTTAAAATTTCTAGGTTAAATATAACATAATAGGTATCTTAAAAAGTATGTCAATTAAAGCGTAATAATCGTTAACAAAAATTTGTAAAATAAATTCAACATTTTGAACTAAAATCTTAATATTAAGTATTTGTAAAGTGAAAAAAATAATTTTTAAATAATTACCAGCTGACTTAAAAATGTTACGTGCTAGGGCTTATACACATTGAAACAGATCTGTTGTGATTACTAATAGGTAATACAGTTATTTAAACCTAATTCAGCTTATGTTCTAAATAGATTTATTTTTCACTGCATGACAAATTTATCCCGATAATGAAAATGTAGGGAATTCTGTTTTTTTTTTATCATAGGTACTAGCCACTTTTTTGTTATACTGTAACAGGTATACATGATACGAAAACATTTTTTTTTTAACCAACCAAAGATAAATTTAACAGAGCTAGTTGCCTATTACATAAGTTTGCTTTTAACACAAAGATAAAATTACCAAATTGTTATTTCTGTCAATTTGCATTTCTCGAGGGGTCGGGATTATTTTCTGTTGTCCTTTGTTGTCCCCAACACTTCGCTTTTCTGCAGTTAGGCCTCTTTTATTTTCGCCTGGTTCATTCCCTACAATTTGAATTACTAAGTAATTCATTGCGAAGCATAAAAAAAAAATATATTTTGCATTCATTGTTTCTTCTGTAAATACTTAAAAATTGAAACAAATTTAACACAAAAATGGCTTTAATGCTGTACAGTGGCTGGTTGGTTTCGTAGTGACTTTTCGACAAATAACACGTTCCTATATACAATAATGATATTTTATCGTAACATGTGTTTTTGACAATTTAGTAGGCTTTTTTTTGTATAATACTTTGTTCTATTTATTTGTAGGTACTCCGTTATTTGTATTTGAATCTCAAACTGCGCAGCCGAAATATGTTTTAAAGACGTCAATAGTGCTCTCGGTTAAACTAATATTGAAATGTTTAACAATTATTTATTGAGTCGTATAAAAAATAATTATATTACAAATTAACACATAGCTTTCTAGTTCACAGTAATGTTTAATTAAAGGTACTTAAAGGCAAAGTCTGAAATAGTGAAATAATATATAACATGTTCGTCGTACGTGTTGATAAGAAATCATATTATACATTGTTTCGGTCGATACTATGAGACGTTTTTTGACGTTTCCCTGCATTTCTCTGTGGCCTGTTCGAGGGCACTGATTATCGTATGTCTGATTCTTCCACGTTCAAGAGCATAAAGACCGGCAGCCGTAGACCCTGCAGTAATCGGAATAATTAATTACACATTGCACTAATTGTAGCTAACAAAATAAAATGTGAAATTCATTTCCAGTTAGGCCGTAAAGCATTGCACTAATCTTTGCTGAGTAAACGCTTCACAGTACTTGGTGTGATCGATTTAATGTAATGTATACGTTTTCTACGTAAAAATTAATCGGCCAGTACCTGCAGGTGAGGTTACGTCATCCTTGAGTTTTCCTGGGTGTTCACCTGTGTCCCGGACGACAGTGCCCGCTCCCAAGACAGTTTGTGAAGCCAACCTATATGCCATATCCCTTGGTAAGCCCATCCGGACGGCTCCGTCGGCCAGTGCTTCAATGATTACATATACCTAGGAACCGCGTATAGCTCAAAATTTAAAAATCTAAATTCCCCAAGCGATGATGATTTCCAAAATCGATAGAAGTATACTCATTGACATAGACAAAAAACAAGATTCACAAATCTTACATAAGCCGGCCCGGAACCGCTAAGGGCTGTTATGGGATCCATTAGGTATTCAGGCACTCGTTCTGCTGTACCGACGGATGACAGTAACTTCCGAGTGAGTTTCTCATCTTCTTCAGTGGCTTTACTACCGGGGACGTACACCGATGCGCCGCATTGTACTAAAGCTGGAGTGTTAGGCATAACTCTCATTACCCTGGAGCCATCTGGTAAATTCTATAAAAAATAAAAACAAGTAATAGCAATACTCGCATAAATATTATGTTTTAAATATATCTTTATGTAATGCCAAAGGTTGAAAAGTTCACCCATCCCTTAGCCCTTTTGAGATCAAGAAGAAATAATTATTTTAACCGTATTTTTGAGAACAGTTCTTGGTGAAATGTAAACTGGGGTAGATTTTTTAATATACACTCAAATTATACGCAAAAAAAACTACAACATTTTATATTGTAATTGTATAAGGGGTGAATGTAGAAATTAAAAAAAGAGGACTTCGAAAAATCACTTTAAATATATCTAAGCAATAGCCATAGAGTTATTGTTTACATAGTAAAACAATACAAATTCTAATATATTATACTTAAAAAAAAATGTTCATAAACATACACTCTTTATGCAGACAATTGAAGTACCTACGTAAGAGAGGATAATTAAACTTTCATTTTAAACTTAATAGTTTTATTATATTAGATTTTGTAATGTATAATATTAAAATACAAAAATGTATGATACCTCCATTTGTTTGTCATTAATTTATATTGCAACTGTTTTTGTGAAAACCCTCTTGTTTCGTTAAGAAAAAAATATTACTATACAAAATGTTGAAAACTATACTGTATACTATAAATTAAGAATATACAGGGTAATTTTTTTATCATGGGCAACTCTATATCCACTGGTTTAATTATTAATTAAATTTGTTTTTTTCGTAGTGTTTTTATATAATGAGATCTCAATTTTCCACAAATTATTATGTTTTTACTGCCCTCCCAAACTAATTTTTTTGATAACAACTTTTGAATTTTGAGTGGTAACGTATACAGTTTTAAACTTTTTATTATGTAATTACGTACAATAACAGTTTTTAAAAAATGTATTGAAAATACAAATTATTTTGCTAGTATTTGAATTGAGTACTTTGAACTATTGGTTTTAACATAGAATGCAAGTTGCAACCTAACCTAGCCTGAAATAATAATAAGGGAGAAAGAAAATAAAGCGAGCGCTTTTAAAGAAACATATGGAGAAGCTGATAAGGGACAAACTCGGCTGATAAGAGAGAACTGTTTGTGCTAAGGAGTAATACCTAAATAACCCGAATATAGTACCAGGAATCCAGGAGCGGCAACGATCGCCCGAGGGACTTACTGTGGCCGTACGCTGCGTGTGCTGCCGCATGCAATTCTACGACCGGCGAACGTCGATTTTGTCTCCGTGAAAGTTTACACCCATGAACTCCTGGTACAAAATAGACATTTTCCATCATTCTAAGCACAAGTCCGGTGGCATTATCACGGCTTGTCCAAAGAAACACGGCGAAAAAACTGACTACAGTACCAGGAGTTCAGGAAACGAGAGAGGGCAAAACGGCGGCACTGCACGCATTCGATGACCGTCGGCCGTCGATTTCGAATTTTGCCTCCCCGTAAATTTCCTCTCATGAATTCCTGGTACAAAATAGATAGTACCGTCATGTAGAAACCATTTCTCTGTAATTAATTAGCAGTGATACAAAAGTGGAATTCGCTTAAAGACATGATATAAAGACATTGTACCAAAACGTTACACAAGACCTGCTTAGTGCGTTAGAACTTGAAATACATACAACAATATTAAATTAAAAAAAAAAATACTTAGTCAGTAACAAGGTGATCACTTAAGATTAGATAAATAATTATTAAACTAAGATAAATAATTTATCAAAAATGTTAACAGGTCGATCGCCAATTTTGAGTACCTAATAATTTAAAATGTTTGTTGCCGGTAACAAAATATATATAAAAATATATTTTGAGTCAGTTACGAGACTGGCTCAACGGATACTTAGATCCGCTCCCTTTTACAAAATTCATTCATTTATATTAATTTCATCATGCACATGAAATACATTTTTTGTGTAATTTAAATTTAAATCATACATCTGTTTTTTTTTAACCTAGGGAATTGTTATCATTTTTAAAATAATTCCTGTATAAATCCTGTATTCATAAATATAAGCATACATTTTCATGTATAATATGTTAAATAATAATAATTAATAAATTGCTGTTTCTTTTTAGTTTTTCTTTATCTTTCTATTTAATTTTTTTTTTAGTCGTGGAAAATTATTGGAGTATTATTTACTAGAAGGTATTACATTTGGTTGGTTGGGCTCTTGTAAATAATATTTGTAGGTGTTGAGTAGCGAATACTGTATAGTAAATACAGATTCCCCCGTATCCCGGTGGCCGGTGGGCCTATCCGTCTTTGCAAAATACGACAATTTAAGATTAACACCTACGTATCTTTTCAATTTCACACGAAATCGTAGCAGGGTTTTTTTTCTTCTAAAAAGCAAATCTTTAAATCTTGTAAATCAATTACGGTTAGAGGAGTACCTTTTCCAATTGATCGACAGTGACGCCCATGGCGACGGACAGCAAAAGATGTTGGGATCCAAAAGCCGGACGCGCTTGATCCAACACTGGCTTGACGACGGACGGTTTGACGGCTAAACAAACCACTTGAGCGTTTTCGGCTACCGCTCGGTTGTCAAAGGTCACAGTCGATCCGAGCGCCTTGAAATTTGAGAAATTATTCCTATTCGACAAGAGAAAGGCCGTGTATACTCACCTCGAAGGCCTCGATGCACTGGGTGTCTCCAAGAGCACAACTTGCGGTAATCAGTTCTCCTTTGGTGAGACCTGCAACATAAGCGATTTTATTTGTACAATACATATGTATACTGCAGTCGGGTTATATATTTAACGGAATTTTACAAATCTGCGTCACTCACCGGCCGCTACAAAGCCTTTGGCCAGAGCTTGAGCCATTTTGCCGGCACCGAAAAATCCGATTTTCAACATTTTTTCCTGACGATTGATGTTATTTTTTTAAACGCTAAACAACTATAACGAACGAGTAACGCCAGTAGTAGTATATTCAACGTAATAGGTACTTACCGTGTATGTACATTATTATTTTGAACTTTGATTGTTCTAATCGATTTTTAGATTACTAGTGTTTACTCGGTTGGTTTTTCGATAAGAACACCACTACATAATATTAAAATGTAGGTAAGTAGTGAATGTACGTAGTTCATTAAGTACGGCAGTCACTTGTACGCAGACAGATAGGTACTCTACTTACATTTCTATACGACGATAACCAACCCAATAGGCTAAGTACTACCACGCGGACTCGGATTTCAAAATAATAATAATATTAACACAATAACAACAACAGCACAATCGCGTTAATCTGCTGCAAACTATTGGACCCATGTCCGTTGTCGACATCTGTAATACCTATAGATACTGATCAAAAACCATTCACAGAGATCAGCACAAAACCGAAGAGAAACCAAAATAATTGACCATTTAAGTGGATAAACGAAAATGACACAAATAACTTTTTGTAGCATCATTTTGTTAAGTATCTAAAATATATTGGCCTCGTCTTCGTTTAGAAAAGACCCTCTTAAGTAGTCACTAAAATAATAAAACCGAAAGTTATCATCTAGGATTTATTTTTGCTTGTCCCGAATTTAAAGTAAACAATTTTTTGTTTTAATTTTGCAGCCGACTTCAAGCTTTATTTCTTCCAATAATCCCTAACAACGCAAAACTAATATTTTGTGATATTTCTGAATTGTTAATTTCATACTTTGTAACGCTTCTAAATAATGTGAAGCTTAAACAATGTAAAATATATAATTCGTTATATTATATATAATACATATTTTTAATTGTAGCTATATAAGATATAAGTGACCACTGAAATGAAGAATATTGTTTTCCTTATTAAATTATTTTAACAGAAAACTATAAAAACATAATAAAAGTGTGTACTTTCTATTGCAATCATTTATTTTAAAAAGTTAATTTAAAATTCATAAATTACTTGAATTGTATTGAATTAACTTTAGTATTGAAAACAATTATTTTAATCGAAACTACATATTATAGTAATTAAGTTGATAGAATATTGCCAACTAACATAATAAATATTTTTAAATAATTAAAAATGACAAAAAACAAAGACTAGAATTAATTTATAAAATAATTTTAAAAAAATATTATTAACATTAAACTCAACAAACCATAAAATATCTGATAAGAAAAAAAAATTTGTTTGCATCATTAAGCAGGTACTAAGAAAAGGTTTTATCGAATTCTATCGTCCCAAGCGCTGTACACAACAATTGCTCATAGAACACCTTCTAGTTAACATCAGGAAACAGTGACAGGTATCAGGGTGCTCTGGAAATAAAAAAATGTTAAGTATTTTTTTTAAAACATTTAATATTTTAATAGTTCATTCACAAAGTTTAAATTTTTTTTAAATTATCGATACTGTAGTACTAAGTCTGAGTAGGGGTTTACACAAACAAATTGAAAAAATTGTTTTTATTTTATAAATAGTAAGATTATTAGGTATTCATAGCTAATAATAATAGCAATCATTATAATAGTAGTAATAATAATACTAATAATAAATAACATGGGTTCATAATTTTTTTATCGTTTTAACTAAAGTTAATTTTCCGATTGCGGAAACCTAAATACACGAGCCATCACAAAGTTTTTCATCCGCTGCAAGCGGTTTTCAACCAAATCGTTATCATCTATAACAATATTAAAATGTAGAATATTGGCATTTTGTTTAATTATTAATATAATATAATATTTTATAACACATGTACAGTTATTGTTAAAAAAAAAAAAAATTGGTTTTGCTTTTATTTTATAAGAACATTGTGCTTTATTATAATATGTTATAAATATAAATGTTTATTACAAGCGGGGAGAAGGGTTTTTTTTTAAATTAAATATTATTATTATTTTATAGATGTCAAACCTTAGTATAAAGAGATCCAACAAAAGGGGCTCAGCAGCTAAATAGTTAAAAAAAAAGTCGTTTTGTTAATTATTGTTTTTACACAGTCTGAAACGAAATTTTATAAAATTTTCAAGCAGATCTTTGTTCATAATCGACAATGTTTTTTTTTTCAGAATCACATCAATTTTTATATCATTGACAAAAAATCTATCAAATTAATACAAAGTTACTGTATACAATGGAAAATACAATGAATAGTAACGAAATACTGATCTAAGTTAGGTGAGACAATTATCTTGGTGCAAATCACAAAGAAATACAAATGTATTTCCTAAATAGTATTATTGAAACCTTATATGGAGTTATATCCTAAGCTAGTATAAATGTAATGCCGACTAACCAAATACGTGGTTTAAACTACACCGAACCGTTTTATTTAAAACATCTGTACCGATTAGACTATATTGTTTCTAGTTTATCATAGTAGTAATTATTTATAAACGAGTCATTTCAAAAGACTTTAGATCATTAGTTAAAACTGCAATCTGTAAAGTGTCTGATGCCATATCAGCACTGCTTGATGACTCCGTATAGCTAGGTGTGCCTTCGGTCCACGTTGCCTCCACAGATTGTCTGCCTGCTGAACCCCCGATGCCAGATGTAGTGCTGCCTGATCCTACACTCAATGTTGATGACTTACTCTCGCCGGCGTGCGACGAGCCTGATGGACCATCTATGCGCAGACCCGGAGAAGGACGTCTCAGACGAGTCATGCTAGAACGTTTTTCGTATACAAAATCACGTCGGATGGCATCTTCAAATGCTGGAGGAGGAGTTGAGCATGTTGAAAAAGTACCTTCGGGATCAGCCTGATCACGCGGACGTGGACGTGACATGCTTCGACGCTTAGAAGGTGACCGCTTTAAAGGACATGGAAGTTTTTTAAACACAGACCTGAAATACAAATAAAGACATTAGTTTAAGGATATTTGTATTCATATTTTAAGTGATGTTCACATACTTGGTCATAAAGTCCAGAAATCTTGTAGCATAAAAATCAGGTCTATGCACAGACACTGTATCGCCATCATGTATAATGGCTTTGAACGTATGCTCAAGCTTTTTCTTCAGCCGATAACTTTGCAATATGTCGATGATTCCGACAAACAACAGTAAACTGTCGCCACTACCACTTCTGGCAGGAATGCCGCCTCTAGGGGAAGAAGAGTCCTCATCGGATGATGCTCCAGTGTCTGCTTGAATACTCTCCATTGCTGTAGAATGAGCCATAAGTCGTTGCCGATTCGCCTCAGCTGTTCGAGACAGAGTAGACGTCTCCGACAAAGTATCAGTGTCATTTTCAACTAATTTACGCGATCGTGCAACACGGCGTTCTTCTTTTTCTCTCTGCGCAAGATCAACATTGTGAACACCGACTAAAAGACTGTAATCCATAATTTTGAAACTCTCTAATACTCTACAATCTCTCTGCATTGTTTTCAAAAGAGCTGCATGTGTATCGGGTTCCAAAAATATTCCATCCGGATGATGTTCTTTGAAGTCTAGATCTTTGAACGTTGGAGAAGACTTTTGTCTTTCATCTTTGGAAGCTTTTCTTTTATATGTAGAACCTTTAAGATCATATTTTTGATGCATTTTTATATTGGAAGGTAATAAATTGTTCATGGCTACTAATCTTATGTTCTTTGAATTGCACTGATAACAGTAGAGACCGAAAAATTTTGGCAATAAAGTCCTCGGGTTTTGGTTTAAGTTCATATAGTATCCAGGAAGAAGTTTCTGCAAAAATTCACCTTCCTTGTGTTGAACAGTTTTCATTATAAATTCATCGTCTCGAGTGAGGTAAAATATGGAGCCGCTAGCGCCAGGATTCGATAACTCACGGAGTGGTGAATTACAAAATGATATCAAATAATCATCCGGTTGTATGCCAAACAAATCTCTGAAATAACGGAATGCGATTGGAGCGTACGTCTTGAATATGAATTCAGGGTAATGGTGAGCCGGAGTGTGGTTGGTTCCGTCGCTTGGAAAAGTCGTCGTTTCCACAGTCATGAAATCTTGCATGAGCAAGTCGCGCTCGGGCTTGGATGCTAGGCCACCCACCGCGTGTTGAATTCCAAGCTGTATGGATCCCATAATTTGACCGGTTTGAATTTTCTTATAAGTGATCTCACCGTCGACTCCGACTCGCCTGTGGCCAAGTTTCTTTTCTTTTTCTTTGGCTTGAAGATCATCTTGCTCTGCAATGGAAATGTCTTTTTCGACTCCGGTGACATCTGCAACAATTCAAAAATACAATCAATATTGGGCAGATAATTTAAACGGTATTTTTTTTTTCTTAGTATAACGCGGGTACCTACAAAATTAATGATTTTAATCATTTGTGATTCAAGTATAATACGCAGTTCGGAATTCGTTTTCCCATAAGAACGACTGTATTCTAGATGTATTTTATTGATATTATAACATAATTATTAAATGTTAAACTAATTGCAGTTGATAAAATATAATAATGAACAGTAATAATTGTTATTGTTTTTTTTTTAAATTTAAATACTTGCTACCACATGTGCCATACAATTAAAAGGCCTACATAGTGTTTTAATATTATAGTATAGTTTTGTTTTTGTGTGATTAATGGAATAATATTATTGTACGATAAGAACCTTACCAGAAATCCGGGGGCATTTCAAACAACAAATGTAGTATTGAAATAAATGTCTCATGGCGGTAACGGCGGGTTCAAATGCATTATAGCAGTTTCTTAAAAAAAGGACCGACGTCGCGCAAAATTTAAAGCACGAGTGTACAATAAGAAAACCGAAACAATTATAAGAGTTTATGTGATATTATTCCAAAAAGACATTATTATCTGCTCAGCTGTACGTTTAATAGTCAGATTAAAATTTAATAAGGCTATGTTTATTTCGACCGACTTTGTTGATATATTTAATAGAACAGATGAAAAATAAATAAGCAATCATTATAAATTAATATTACTCGTGGGGTATTATTATTTATTAATACTGGACAGTTCTAAAATACCGCGAGACAGACATAAGACATTTGTACACGAATAATTGATAGAAATATTAGAAGAAAACAAGTAAATGCCGCGAAAAAAATAGAAAATGTCGTGATTTTTTTTTATTGCAATATTCGGTTTTTAATTTTGGACTACTAAAACCTCACAAGCGAAATCACTATTTTTCTTCCACGGCTTATACGTACCTACATTACAACCGGAAACTCACAGTTCACTTATAGATTTTACCACCGTTTATAGATTCTACTATATTTAATATGTCGGTTTACATTATATTATGTAAAACGGCATTCGTTGAAATGATCAAAAACAATACGAATTATTCATAACGGAACAAAGACATCAATTTTGGTTGTTTCCGAACTGAGTGGAGCAAACCGAAAAAAAGACATATTTAAAAAAAATACACGAAACTTGCATAAAATCGAAGCAAGTACGACCTACTAAGCCGACGAAAACTTAAACCGATTGTAGTCGAGGTATCGAGTGTATAACCTCTTTTGAAACGATTAATATCATTATGTTTTTTAACAATGAAATGTAAATACACTAATGATTTTTGTCCTTTTCCCAAAGAATGTTAACAACGCCAAAAGGGCCTTGAAAGTTCAAACTTTAACCCTTCTTACCCTACTTCATGTAGAACACATTATACCTTTTATGTAAGTCTATCTATTTTGTGCTATGTATAGTCTAATCGTTTTTCGCATAGAACATGTTATTTTTGGCTATGGACAAAAACGACTTATCGGATTAGGTCAAAGGTTCACAGGTGAATACTAGGAATTTTGTCACTGTCACTTCATTTTCAATTAATTAATAACAGATTTCCAAATAACTTTGGTTTTGAATTTTGAAAAACCGCATTTCCGGAATTTGCCAAATCGGGCTCGTAAGGGGTTCAACTTCTCCCTCCCCTTAAAAAAAAAAAATAGTTCCCAATACGTGCCTGTGTCAAACTCGGATGTTTTTCTTAAGAGGTCTCTATACTAGCATTTATTAAGGGGCATAGTGTATGCAATTTTTTAATTACCACAGGAAAGGAGTATGTGTTCTTGATTATTAATTTTTGACATTTTTTGTTTTTACTATGGCACACAACCAGAAAAAAGACTAAAAAACCTCATAAAAATATCAGCTGATTATTTCAATGTAAAAAAATGCATTTTTAACTTTTTTAAACTGTAATCCTAGTTAGTTAACAAAAAATAGTTTTAATATTGTGCCACAGTCAATGCCTTGAAAATGTTATGAACAATTCAAATGTTTTTTCAAAACTTAAATTGGAGTATTCTTAGCAACAGTATGTTTGAAGTAGAATGAGTTGTTTTTCGACCAAAAATACGCAAGTATCATAAAAGATAAAATCATTGGCCAAAAAAAGTGTCCATCAACATCTAAGATGTTAATGTGGGAAGGGTCAATATTACTGTTAGCAGGCATAGAAGATTTCACACGTTAAGATATGGTTTTATAAATTTTCAAACATTTTCCCAGTAAAATTTAAAATAAATTCACTAATACCCCTTGGCTTCTAGATCACATGAACAACGTGTTTAATAGTATTTCCTAGTTTATAATATACAATAACTGGTTTATATATATATATATATATATATATATATATACTTATAATATGTAGTATGGTATATGTGGAAGCTAAAATATAATAGTCTTTCAAAAAAATTTGCTTTTATTTTGTATTTTTTTCTTCAAATAATAATAGAATTGTAGTTCTTTTAAAAATGTAAGAAAAGGATTTTTGTTTACATTTCCAAAAACATAATAAAATCTGTACTAACCTAACAGATCTTTAGTAACGTGAAAATTCTTGAACATAATTTTAATGCAACTGTTGTAGTTAAACAAAACCAATTTATGTATAATCGTTTTAAATTGGCAATGCATTTCTATGAAATATTAAAAGTTTTCGGTTTTCGAAGCCGACAACATTTAGTAATTTTATGGTTTCAACCATATGTTGTTGTACAAACAAATACAATTTAAACTTTAATACAGTTATATTTGCATATTTTTTGTATAGTTAAATTATTTTTATACTTTTAAAACAAAATTATATGTTTAAATGTATGTACACAGCAAAGTGCACACATGTTATACACACATATTTTTTTACATTTTTAATGTCATTTCCCTTTATTCAAAACCGTTTATATTGAATCGGGTTTGACCCCTCATTAATCGAGCCATACAGGTTGACCATTAATTATTTACAGGAATAATACAATATAGTGTCATTTTTAATCAAACAAGATAAACAGATAATCATTATTCATCAATAATTAGAACATATTATCATTTTTTATTTTGCAAAATAGTTTTATACACTTCGAAATAAGGAAACAACTTTAAATCATATTATAAAAAATTATCCAAACATGAATCTAAAAGCAGTTCAATCAGGTAGTGCTAGCAAATCATTGCAAACACACTGACATTGGTCAATAAAATGTTTTCTGAACCAGTTCCCATTGAAAACAATTTTTTGGGTTAATTTGCAAAATGTATGTTTTTATCATAGGTTGTGTTTTCTGACAATCCACGTATAGGTTAACAAGTTTTGGATCTAAAGTACAACTAGGATCTGCAATTACTTACATTCTACACTCATTGTTCTTTTTAAATTTCAGTAAGTTCAATTTGTAACAATTACTTGTTCAGTTGTAAAAATTTCAAAACATAAAATGCTAGTTAAGGGGTCAACACTCTAGACTGTGATTTAAAAATGTATCAAACAAGCAACTATTTAGTAAAATTAAAACAGCTATAAGTATGTTAATGCGAGCTAATTTATTGTTTCCTTTTTCGAAATAATATAAGTTCAAAACCGCGTAAATGCATAGGCCAATATTAAGCTTGTGAAAACTAAATTAATGCCTAGTTAATAAAGTTTATAATAAAAATTGATTCTTTAAACTTTTAAGAGTAAACGACTCTTGATTTTTTATTTTGTCTGTTCATTTGTAAATTTCTAAAAGAATCATTATGACAAATCTAAATGAATACTCAATACTCCAAAAAAATATTAAAATATTGTATTGTTATTACATTTATTACATTTATTACATTTTCTTTATTTAGATGGATTTTGAAATGAAAAGTATTATGAATGTATAAATCAGATATTAAAAAATGTGTAACTCACCATTATCTTTATCCTTATTGACTGAAGATCCGCCTTGATCCTCAACAGCCGGTCGAATGTCGTTCAATTCCATTTTGATACAACTTCACTATCTAGTTATTTTTGAATTGGCATGACCAATCAATAGAATTCAATTTAGCAGACACCAGCTCATTGAAACGCCGACAATAATTTTCACTAATATTTGATAACAGTGCAAATTGTGTTTCGTAGGAAGTGTTAGTAGCTTCTGTATTCTGATTGAAAGTGTATGCGACAACACGAAAACCGTTGCTATTCAACAGTACACAATACTGTCGATTTTCTAACGTTTCAATGTTCAGATATATACCATCAATTACATTAAGGGATGATACTTCTATATGGTTCACCAGGGATTTCTCGCTGTCGATAATAGATTTGGCTTCGGCACACCAATCGAGTGGCCTTTCCATATAAATGATACCACCTAGAACATACGAAAATCAGAATAACCAACTATTATAATGTCTAATGGCAATCAAGATGAACCAGTTCAAATCAAGGTTAACAATATTTTAATCTAACCTAAAAATTAACTGTTTAAAGTTGTTCGAGTGACTGAAGGACACGGCCTGTAAGAGCGGATTAGGTTTGTCAAGAGATCTCAGCAACGGCAGACTACAAACAATCAAAGGTTATAAGGTCGCACACAATAAACATTAGCAAACAATATTTATATCGTACAAATTCGGTTCGATATAGCAACAAGGTATGCGGTGAATTGACTTACGGGTGTTTTGATCAAAGGTTCGTTCGGGAATTAAGGAATGTAAAATATGTAATAACTAATAGGGAAAGGGCGGGAATAAAAAAATATCGCCTTAATTAATGCATCGGGAAAGCATTTATACGTGATAATAATAATTAGTAGAATGTTTCTCGTTGACACGATTTTCAGTAAAACTAGAAAACAACATTATAAAAGTAAAAAAAAAATCATAATAATTATATAAACAACAATAACAACTAATAACAAAGTCCCCAGAAAAAAATTATCAGCGGAAGCTGGTAGACAGTGTGATTTAGAGGTCTTTACTGTTTTATTGAAGGTAGAGACGGTTTATTGGATTATACGAAGTCTATGAAGTTAGCGACGATCGATGAACGGTTTGTTTTTTCAATTTTTCGAGGCTGCTCGTCGCCGTCCAAAGGTTATAAGGTTTGCGTGCGCATGTTTGCATACATTTGTGTTACAACGGTATTGCCTATGGTCATACTATTATTATTTACTCGCCCTACTCGGGTCGTCGGAAATTATTGTAAAAACATTTTTTCGAATAAATGGCTTTTTCTCATTTCGAAGTTGCACGTGAAAACACACATAAATAGATTAAGATTTATTATTAAAACAAAAAAAAAAGAACCCTAATTAAAACTTCACTACCGCGGTTTTGGCTAAATATTTTACTTTTAATTAATCTAGACTAATTAATGTAACGTAAATACAAATACACGTCAAATATATTCAAACATGCAATTATTACTCGATGCTAATAATTAATACCGACCGTACGGACCGTCGAGTGAGAAAAACGAACATCAATACACATTCCACGGACTTATTTACTTATCTGTTTCGAAACGGCGAACGACTTGATCGCTGATAACAATAATGCTTTAGCGGGGATAAATAATAAAATATGTATTATGAGTACTTGAGAAACGTCCAATTTCCAAACAACAGCCGGCAATGACCTACAACTCGACACGGCGCGTATGGCAATAATAATAATTATTGGCAGCTAAGTACCTCCTACCTGACCGTGTAAAAAAAAAATCTGAATTATTCACACGGCGTTTTCTGCAGCCTTCGTGATTCGTATACACATTACCCAGTCACGTTTAAGGCGACTTTCCTGTAAAAAAAAAAAAACATATTAATCTGAATAATTACCCAATAGCGCAGAGGATTCTCTGATAAGAAATTGGACCGGTAAATCTTTTGTCGTGTGTCTTGGTTTTAATATTCCTAATAAACGCCATCTCATTTTTCCCCAAGCTGTATTTCTGACATAGTATGAGGTGATCTTAAACGTAGGTCCCGGATGAGATTTATCACTAAAAATAAACAACCATGGGAATAATAATGTAAAGGTATCCGCTAGTCTTCCAAGCATCATCAAAATCACAACAAAACCGTACATAAATATGTGTCTTCAAAGCTCTAGTAAGGCTATAATATTCTAGATTTTGGGGCTCGAAGAATTAAATTTGATAATGTGTTAGTTATGAAATAATAAGTATACTTGCCCCATTATTACATTTTGATTTATACTAACACTGTACATATTACAGTAATGTCCTATATGACATGGCATTTGTACTATTGTCTATTAATGTGTACCTAATACCTATTTTATGGTAATCAGCGCTAGGCTTTTATGTAACTTTCAGTACTGTAAGTACGCAATCATTATAATGATTATTGTGGTAAGTTGTGAGTTGCGTAAAATATAATAACAACAGGGTTCTAGCAGTCGGCAAAATGAAAATGTTACAAAATGATACATATTATATATTAAAAAATGCATATCCAAAGTATAGATGATTCATTAATATTCAAAAGACTACTTAACTGATTATCCATAGATAACAAAAAAATTAATACAAATTATAATAAATGGTCGTTTCAAAATTTTTTAAACGTAGTAATTAATAATAATTGTAATTGTAAGAACTAAATATTTATTAAGTATTTACTCAGTATTTATTCACGATTTTTCTCAGTTAAGTTTGAAGCACAAAAAAATAAAAATGTCCTAAAAAGGTGTATACAGATATTATGATATGTATGTTAGGTACTAGGTAGCCAGGCGGACATAATATTAATTGGTATCAGCTGTATAGTCATTTTCATATATTTATGTAGGACTCATACCCGTTAATTTGCGATAAAAAAAATTGTATGCGTTTTGTATAAAAAAAATAATTGTAGTAACCTACTAATTTGTAAAATCTGTCCGGGTCAATCTTTCCTTTAATTTTGTTTTATACTTTTGTTTGACCTGCTATTTGGAAACATAATAATAATAAGAAGAAGGTTCACTCAAGTAAGTGGTATACTATTAAATTTGAAATTGCGATTCGCGCAGGTACCTCACTCACTCAAAAAATAAAAAAAACGTCAAATACTTCTTGATTCAACACGGTGCCCAAAAACGATCAGATAAAATGAAAGGTTAGAATAAAATATATCATGTTCAAACCTCGTTTAACCGTTTTTGATTGCACACGAACTAATAAATTGTATTGTATGGACGAAAACCTCTCCGGTTCGAGAAAGCAAGCAAAAGTAAGAAAATCCACAAGATTGCAATTAAGATTACAATCTTAAATCTCTGATCCATAAGGTGCAGTGTACACTAATGTGTTTACAACGAGTAATATACTTTATTACTATAGGTATACCATGATCGGTGCGTCGTAAAAAGATAATATGCCTTTTTTTTTACCTGAACACAGTCGGTATAAACTAAAGGTACACTATAATATAATATACAAAAAAAAAAAAAAATAATAACATTACACCAAAATTCCATTATTTGTGCAACGCTGTAGAGTGTAATATAAATGTGTTGTGTTTGTAGGAAACATAAAAATGTGTACAACAGTTTAAATATTAGTCCAATTAGTCCACCTAAGACCAGCCTAATATCCATCGTGTTTCATCAATATTTAATTAATTCGTATTTTTCTTAGGCGTTGTTAAAGCTTAACTTTTAACAGAACGCACTGATATTATGAGTTCATTGTTCTCTAAAAGAAGTTTAACTCGAAAGCATTAAAAATAAATTATTATTAGTCTAATGCAATCGAACGAATTTTTCTATTTTTTTCAAGGTTTCCCGGTTACATAGGCAACTATAATATATGCACGGAAGCAAATAAAGTAAATTTCCAAAAAAAAGTATTGAACTATATTATTAATTTACATTATAATACTTGAGTGTATATATTAAAATATCCCTCAGTTGAATATAAATACTATTCTCTTTAAAAAATCCTTTTAATATAATTTTGGAATTATTTACAATAAATTGTTGAACATATTTTTAAATTATTTAGAAAATTGGTATAATTTTAAGAATGTCTTATTACGTTTCTTCCGTAGTTGCTGCTATCCGTTTAACGGAAAACTATTAGAAAAATAGTCAAAAAGGAAAAAAAACATGTTTTACTTGATCCTATTCTTTTATTGGACAATTTTAATAGGTAGGTATGATAAGTAACGTTATAATAGTAATCATTAGCAAACAAATATTTAAATTCATTTTATAACTTCTTCTGGTATAATTTGTTTTTAATATAAACGAACGTTATGATTTTTGTCTCGAAGCAAATGCTAATTAGTGGTGTTTCCTACTATCATAATATAAGGATGAATGTTTTTTTTCCTTACATAACTACACTTCATAAGTCATAACAGCTATAGCTCAATCGATACATACAATGCCATATCAATATTTGCCATCGTCTAGACTGCAGTAGATTTGACCACCTGGAATTTGGTGATGTCACCAAAGTGCTTCACCTAAATAATACATTATGAAATTGCTTATTTACAGTTTATTAAAACACACATACTAACACCAGGTGGGCAAGACAGCTAAATTTGAGCATACAAATAACAGTTTCAATGATTAAGCCAATTTACCAGTATTGTTCTTTTAAAATGTAATTCATTTATTACAATTCTGTTCTTACAACTCTAGTCTATTGTCAATCATATTATCTATATAGGTATTTTAAATTTAAAACTATAAAAAAATCACCCTTCTCCTACTTTAACTAGTAGTAAATTGTAATATGGACAAATTTAAATATGTTGAACATTTTCGAAAAATTAAAGAAGACATATGTATACATACAAAATACTATAAATGTGTTGAGCACCTTACAAATTGTTTTTATTTGACAAAAGCGAGGGGCACCATTAATATAATAATTAAATACTACTAATTAGTAATCTAAATAAATAATAATCAATTTTCACCTAAATACAAATTATTTAATGTTTATAATTTGATTAAGACTGCCAAAATAATGGTTGTTTGTTAAACGTTGTAAAAAATACATTGTAAATATATCAATGTACCAATACATTGAAAAAAAATAGTAATTATTTTATACAAATATTCTAAATACATTCTACACATTTTTTGGAAGTATCAAAACAGTTAAATATACAACACTATACTCTATTATAAATTATGCTGGGCATTAGATAAATGTTAATGTCTATAATTGTAAGAAGAATATTAATTAATTTAAGATAAGATAAGTTAAATATATTGGTATCAATAATTGAGTTACGAGTTAAAGTTTAATTAATGAGTTAAGTAACCCGCATAAGAAAATTAAAAATACAAATATTTTCTAAGTGTTTTATTACAGTTTGGTGGAAAGTATTATAAGTAGGTATAATATTTTAAAAACATCAAAATTATTTCAACAAATATTATAAAATATAATTATTTTTCAATGAAATATATTTAAGGATTATAATAGTTCTGTATGATTCTAACTATATTAGTTATTTGAATAGCGAGTTTATTCTGATAAAAGTGAAATTGGGTTTTATTCTAAAAAAATGCATATTTTTTTCTTTGTTGTTACTTAAAATAAGAGTTATTTATTAATTACATAAATAATATAATATGATAGCGTTGCAATAAAAAATATTATGTTATTATATCCAAGAATATATATGTATATATATATATATATATATTCTTGGGTCTAACATAATCGAATAAAACAATTGTATTCATTTTGTGTATATATATATATATATATATATTGTACTCATTTTATATATATATATATATAAAATGAGTACAATAATTACTGAAATTGTTTTATTCGATTATGTTAGACCCAAGAATTAGATAAGGTGTAACCGGGTTCTTTGAATGGGTAGGTCAAAACATTCCTTGGGGGTGTATTTGTTACCGATGATATTGCAAGGATCCATCCGTCCTACCCTTAAGTGCACAGCCAGGCTGTATAAAAGGTCTACTTTGCAACCCTGTTGAAACACTAAGTAAGCACTCTCCGAAGGAACTACAACTACTGCTCAAGTACCTGTTCTTGGTAAGTCATTGTTTTTCACATCACTTATATTATCTGCTTTGTTCTTTTTTTTACATTTTTTATATTAAATTATTAACCCAGCTACGTAGTATATATTTCACGAAACAACGTCAAAATGATGTGCTGCTCATAAACCAGTTGAACAATTTAAATAACACTTGAAATATGTTTTAAAAATCATATTTTTTATCGGTTTTATGGAAACGATTAAATATTTTTTTCTATGAATAATTTACTTTTAATCACAAACTATTTATTTATAATCATTTTTTTTTTAAAGATTAAACTATCAGCAATTTAAAGAAACGAAGTAAAAAAGTATATATCTAAATTAATTACCTTTTATAATATTTGGAAGATAGCAATTTCTTAAAAAACTATAAGGCACCACCTTAATGAAATATTGTTTTTTTTTTTAACAACATAAACTTATTTAATAAACATGTTGCATTTCTGTTACAATAAGTATTGAAAGGTCAAAATTCACTAATGAATAATAAACTGCTTAAATATTAATTTTGTTGTATAATATATAAATAACCTATTATAATAATATATTTACCTTACCTAACTTAACTAACATTTCAATTGGTATAGTTATTTTAAAAAAAAAACTTCTCAAATCGGTTAGGTCTTTTATTAGTACTTAATTAATTACTCACAAGAAAATCTTAATGTACGAGTTAAAAAAAAATATAAATTTTTGGACGTGTGGTATTAACTGAACTATAGTTTTACATTTATAGTCAAATTTAAAGGCAGTTCCACAATACTGAAATATTATATTGAACTATCCTTGAACTTTAAGTAAAGTTGATGTAATGGTTTACATTTAATGATGAGTTTATATTTTTTATTGTGTATTTTTGTTTATTTAAAAAATAAAACTAATACTTACGTTTCATTCTTAACAATTACCTTTGAACTATTTAATTTTAAAGCGCGTTCTTTTACCTATTTTACCTTGTGGTTATTCAGAAAACGTATAATACAAATAATTATTTTAACAACTATTTAAATGATAAAATTAAATACATTTTTCAATTGTTAAGTCGAGCTAAAACAAATCTTTAAACGGTTAGTTGTAACATATATATTATAGTAATTATTTTTTAATTTATTTTACAGCAAAACAATTATCAAACAACCATCTGACCATGAATTCCTTCTTAGCCTTCGCCGTCTTGGTCACCTTAGCTCTGCACGCCTGCGCTGAAGACGCAAAAGAAGTCACCACGAGTACCTCGTCGTCTGCCATTGATAGAGCGACAAGCATATTGAAAGCCAGTGTCCTAAACGACAGTAAGTGTCAAATATATAATAATAGTAGTATGCTGTAATGTATTTTCTACTTAAGTCTCAAGTACATACATTAAAATACTTCTAACCGTATCATCTAAAAGACTGAGTAGTATAGGTTCTTTGGATTTCTTTGTTTGCTGTGTTTTTTGCAACAAGTACTAACAAAATTTGTCAATAATTTATCGTTGTAATAGGTTATACCGTAGGATGTATTTTATTGGCTTATTTTATTAACAATCAGTTGAGCAATATTACTTACAATAGATTTAAACTAACAGAGAAATAATTTCACGTACAATCAATGAAGCCCAATACCATCAAAAAATGTGTTCATCCAACTGATATAAAATTAAATATTAAAAAAAAACTCATTTTATAATCCTTAATCCCGTTTTTTTAATTAATAAACATTTTATTTAAAATTAAAATATTATGTTCATCTCGTGTAAACAGATTCAATGTTTTAGTTGAAAAAACTATAATTGAACTAGAACAACTATTATAGTCTAACAATAAGTTGGCATAGAAATATAATTTGTTCATAACTTTAATTATTAGTCTGGGAAATATTTTCTTATAATTTGTCGGTATTCAAAATTTAAAATATGGGAACACGAGTTGGACGATCTTTGAAAAATGTAAACGAATGTCAGAATTTATCACAGTAGTTTCTATAAAAAACATTTTCACAGTTAATAGGAGACAAGGTTATTTGCTCCTAAGTGATTTTAAATTGTCAATAAGCCAACCTACTTTGAATATTCGTAGAAAAAAATAATTCGATTTTTACAAAATGTTCACGTTTAAGCATAAATAATATTTTCCCTTATTTATTAATGAACATTTTTTTAATGAAAACAATTATTTAGATATGTTATAACTACAACAAATGTTGATTAAACGTAGTATGGTATTTTGATAAACTTAACACTGATTTTGAACTTTAGTTAAATTATATTGCCTTTTGGAACGATACAAACGTTTCGTTTCAGGAAAAGTATTTTGTATCGTTACTGAAAGGAATAGCTAATTTTGAAATGTTTTTATTTTACTTTTCAATTTTTCACAAGTTCAAACTTAGGTAAGCTATTAGAATAGCATACTATTTATAATTCATAAATTATCAGCATTTGTTATTCATAGCATTTGTTGTAGTTATAACAAATAATTATAATTTTGGCTTGGTAACGTTTTCAATCTCTGTGTATAGAGTGATTCATTAAGGATACGACACTCATTTTATCCTAAAATATTTTTTTTAAAAATAATTATTGTTTTTGTTATTGTACAATAGTATAAAATTACTAACGATTTACCCGTTGTACAGTTTTTTAGAACTATATCAACTATTGAATCTTAAATATATATTTAATTATCTTTATAAATTAAGAATATTTTGTTGAAAATGTTGACTGGTCGATTACCAGTTTTGGATAACTATACTTATAATTTATAAAGTTACCAAAGTATGCGCCCAGGTAAAAATAATACTACACTCTACCTTTCCTCCCATCCTAAGTTTTAAACTTGAATACCTTACTTTATAAGTAATTATCCAAAACTGGTAATCGACCAGAAATCAGTACCAGAACCAGAACTGGTAATGCTTAGTGAATTATTCTTAACTTAAAAATTCGATTAATTGTATACGTTACTATTTAAGTTTCAAAAGTCGATAGCGCTATGAAAAAAAAACTGATAAAAATTCGAATATTTCCTGATATTGTAAATAAACGTAAGCTAAGTATTTGCAATAAAAAAAACTACAACATTTAAATTATTTTAAGAGGAAACGAGTGTCTTATCACGGAATTAAGACTAATCTATTAAATTAAATATATATTACTATAATTAAATTTAATCTTTTCCTCAATGAGTCACTCTGTACATAATTGTTTTATTTCCTAATAACGCGTTTTGGATGATTAACGTCAATAATAATAATAATAATATTATTAAAAAAGCATAATTTTTAAGTCATTTTAATTAATATTGAATATGATAAGTATATGGTTATCATCTTGTAGACGATGCAAGCAAGTGGTCAGTCGTGCCGTCGGGCTACGGAAGCGCGCTGGCCACCGGCGGCGCAGTGGTGATCGGCGTGGTCGTTCTGTTGGCCATCGCAGCAGTGGTCAGTCCCCTGTTCGGGTACAGACTCTGCCAGATTTTCAGCACCTGCGACGCGGCCACCGGACAGTCTTTCAGCGGCGACGGTTACTCGGGCTACGCATCCGCTCCGTCGTACTCGACTTACCAAAAGAGGTGACCGGTTATTTTTGGGCCTTACCCTTTTTCGCACTGTAAAACAAACTAAATTTTCGGTTTTTCGTTTTTAGGTCCATCGAGTACGTGGGACCGATCTTGCAAGCTTTGAACTCGGCATACGAAAAATACGGACACGGCGGCCCAAGTCCCCTGAGTCAAGTAATCAAGAAAACCACTGCCCAACAGCAATAATAATTGACCGAATTCAAATTTAAAAAAAACGCACATTTTGTATTCTATTATTAAAAAAAAAAAAAATTAATAATAATAAATTAACGTTCCTTCATAAGTTGTACATTGACGTTTTTCTTATTTATGTAAACAAAAATAGTATTATATTTAAAAATTGTATAATAACTTGGTAGTTAACAATTATAATTTTTTTTTATATATAATATTTTTATTTAAGAAATTAATTTTTTATATAAATATTATATATTTTTTTATTTATATTCATCGATCGATCGTTTTTTTTATTGTGACGACCGCCATCGATGTTATATTATATTATTCACAAATAAACACAATAATAGAATTTACACATTAAAATAAAACAAATATAATTTAAAAAATAATATGTTCATTTCTAAAAAAAATATCATTACTAATTCTAAAATGTTGTATTATTATTTTTATGTATAAATAAATAACGAAAATTAGAAATTTCTTAACGTTAAAAAAAAGTGGTAATCTGTGTTACGTTCGATTTAATCTTTCTATGAGTATCGTTTATGGCGTTAATTTTGATCTCCTCGCCAGTAGGATCATCTTCTCCTTTTCTTCTTCTTTCTGGTCTATGCTCATATGAGAAAGAATACTGGCTGCTAGGGCTGTGTTTTGTTTTCTGCTGTTGCTGACCGTCCGGCTGAGCGTCGGTAATCTCTTATGCATTTCTTTTTCGACCCACTTCAACATGGTAAGCACGGCGTCCGGCCCGGACAACCGGAAGTCGGCGGCGGTTTGCACCATTGGCGACGGGTCCACCCGGAACGTGCACGCAATGCCCTGCAGGGCCAACATGGCGTCCTCGTTGCCGGCGTATATGACCCGCACCCTCTCGGACCAGTCGACGCCGTACGTGGTGCGCAATATGTAAATGGACGCTCTGCCCTGGTCCCACGTTATAGGCGGCTTGCCCTCGATGGCCAATATGCCCTGGTGCGGTTCGAAACCGGCGTTTTCGAATATCTCTATGGCCCGTTTCTCCAGCATCTCCCGTTTCGCCGGCGGCGCTTCCCGGTAATGGTACGTCAACATGACGCCCTTGTTCTCCACCCAGGCCCCGTCCTTGCACACCTCGTCCATGAGGGCCTTCTGCAGGCCCGACACCTTTTGTTCGTACTGCCTGGGCACCGGGTGTACGAAGTTGGTGCCGTCCGGGTGCAGGATCTCGATGCCGTGACTACCGGCGTAGGTGATGTTCTCGATGCCGACCATGGTCTTGACGTTTTCCAGCGTCCGCCCGGAAATAACCGCGATGTTAACGTCCGGCATCCGGGTTAACCTCTGCAACACCTTCTTCGTCTCTTCCGACATGATGGCCAGGTCCGGGTGCGACGTCAGGTGTGTAAGCGTGCCGTCGTAGTCGAGTATCAGACTGAGTTTACCGGCGCCAGCGATGTGGTTGCTCAGGTACATGTCGAAATCGTCAAGCCGGAGCTGCAACGTTTTCGGCGGTTCCTCGTCCTCGTCCTTTAGGGCGCCCATCGACGAGAAGAACGACGTCATCCAGTAGTTGACGTCCAACAGCTGTTCCCGGTGTCGCAATTGGGTCATTCGCAGCTCGCGCTCGTCCAATGGCATTTTCAGTGCCCGGTTCAGAACGTTAGCCATCTCGTCCAGTTCGTACGGGTTGACCAGCAACGCTTCGTGCATGGTGCCGCCGGCGCCGGCAAACGGCGACAAGATCAACACGCCCGGCGTGCGTATCTGACAGGCGACAAACTCTTTGGCCACCAAGTTCATGCCGTCCCGGAGCGGCGTGACCAGCGCAACGGCGCAATCCCTGTACAGGGCCGCTAACTGCTCTTGGCTCAGACAACCGTAAATGTACCGGATCGGAGACCAGTTGGGCTTAGAAAAACGCCCGTTGATTCGGCCGATCAGCAGTTCGGTTTCGTCTTTCAACTGTTTGTACTCCTTAACGTCCGTTCTGGACGGCACAGATATCTGAAGGAGGACGACCTTTTCCCAAAACTCGGGATACTTTTCTAGGAATTTCTCGAACGCCAGGATCCGATGAACTAAACCTAAAACGACAGTACAAATAAAATTAGCAAATATTATTATTTTAAAAATGTTTAGATTAAAAACACTGTTTCTCATAGCTATTATTTAACGAGATACAATTTATAAACAAGGTGTTAATTATATTGTTCCAATAATTATAATCATTCAAAACTGGTTATCGCCAATCAACATTTTCAGTAAATTATTCTTAATTTAAAAGTTCGATTCATTATTTACGTTACCATTTAAGTTGATAAAGCTCTAGTAAGTACTATAAAATATAAAAGTTTGAATATTGTCTAATATTTTACTATAACACGAATAAAAATGTTTTAAAAACGAAACACTTCAAAATTGCAATTGTTCTACAAGTAAACTTGTAGGGTATTAAAAGAATCTCCCGGGATGTATACAATTTGTATTCGAGAGCGTTTCAAAATGGTCTACGATTTAATATAGGTATTAAAGGGATTGCATGCGGTCTGTTTTTAAGGAGTTTTGTATAGGCAATATTTAAGAAAAAATAAGTTTTAATAAATCTCGACCGTGTCCATTAATTTATCGGTTAATTTGTATTAGCTCAATGTATTATTTTAAATTCAAATTCAGTTTCTTGTAATTAAAAAAATTAAATTTGCAATTTTTTCAATACTTAAACCCGATTGTTTTACCTACATAAAAAAACTAAAAAATCCGTTTCCTACATAACCTAGTAAAGTTGCCAAAGAACGACGATTGGACTACCGAATCGAGTAAAATTTGATCCCCAAAACGACCGTGGATGTTGAAAATTACCTTTGGTGTAATCTAACCGGTCCACGCCGAGTATGACCTTAACGTCCTCCGGCATGTTTAGGAATGTCGGCGCTTTTTCCGACAGTTGTACGAACCGTTCGAACGGAATGCCGATGGGCAAAGGTTTCACTTGGACGGTGCGGCCGGCGAGTTCCACCAACATGTTGGTCCGGTCTACCCGGCAACCGAGTCGTCGACAACAGCAATCGATAAAGTTAAGACAGTAATCTTCAATGTGGAACGCAACGAAGTCGTACGCTGAAACAGAGACGACAATCATATTTATTGTTTTTGAAACCGGTAAGAAAGGCGTTTTCCGGGCGCAGTACAAAGATTTGGTACCTACCCAATATTCCCTGGAGGACTTGGTCGTCCCAAGGCAGCAATCTCATGATGTCCCACGACGGGAACGGTATGTGCAAAAAGAAACCCAGCTTGCACCGGAGATTCTCTTCTTCGCAGACGCTCCGTATCGTCGTGGCCGTGGTCAGCAACTGATAGTCGTGTATCCACACCAGAGGTATCGTGTCCGTTTCTCCGGCGTCGTCCAACGTCTTAATCACCTTCCTCAGAGCGTCCAGTGTGCATTCGGCAAACTTTTCGTTGACTTTACAGTAAGTCTGCGAAGTCAACAACATTGCGATGAGCTCGAAACGCCAACGGCTTAAGGTTTTTTTTATTTTACAATTTTCGGATCTATCCGTTTCGGGGAACCATCGCCGGACGTAGGTGCAATTTAGGAGGGGGAGGGGGGGGGTCGCTTGGGCGTACTTAGCACTTCAAGTTTTGAAATTAGCGCCCCCGAAATTGTTGCATAGAATGAGTATAGCGAGGCTACAGGGGGATTTTCTAGTATTTTCAGTGCTTAAGCGCTTCCAATAAAACGATACAACACGAATAGATACGAAATGTGGAAACTAGTAGTTCAGAAAGCCTTAACACGTCAACACTTACCCGCCAGTCTTTGGAAACGAAATTCGCACGGTCCGGCATTGAATGAAACAGAGGCCAGAACGTACCGTTGCAACAACCGTTGTAAAACTCTTCAAATTCTTCTTTTTCAATGTGTACGGGAATGATCTAAAACAATATACATGTACATTTTAGATCACCAAATGCGTTTTTTCGGACGGTAATTATTATTAGTTGAATCGAACGAACCTATCGAAATAATTACAAAATACCTGTTAAGATTTTTTTAAGGGTGCGATCGAAAGCGGTGTGGTTTGTTAGACCAAAAAACCTGACAAAACGTGCGCTACTTAAAAATTTGAATTCTGCAAATATCTACGAGTTCCTTGGCCACTTTACTAGGTTGTGTTCAAAACGGATTTTTCATTTTTCACTTTTTTTATGTAAAAAAAAATGAGTTTATAATATTGACAATTTTTCAAATTTTATTTATTTAAATACAAAAAAAAACAGATTTTTTTATATGAAAATCGTTTTTTAACAAAACCCAGTTAAAGAAGCCAACAAATTCATACGCGTATTTAACCAGAACTTAAATTTAACGAAGTGTGAAAGCAATTTTTACCACCAAAATTGATTTTCAGAAAAATTTGTATACATTAAAATATAACGCCCGCTGAAGCTATACAAATTAACCAGAAAATAAATTGACAATGTCAAAATATATATTGTAACTGCTTTTTTCTAAAATGTTGGCTATTGCCTATATAGAACTCTTTAAAAACAGCCCACTTTCAATTGCTTGAGTCTTAATAATAAATTATTTTGATTGGCAACCTTAAGTTGCCAGCTTTTTTTATTATAAATAACGTTAAATAAAATGCTTTAATATGGCTTTGGTCGATAAGGCCGATTGAAACGAACGTATGCATATAATAATAATATTATTTATAAAAGTGGATGATAAAGAATAATCATTCGAGTACGTTGGACATAAAAAAAGGGGGAAAATAATAGAACATATAAAGGACATCATAATTAATAATACAATTTTCTCTGGTCAATTTTTATTATGATATCGATATTTTCTAAAAAATTATAATCTAAAATTATTAGAAAAATACATTTTTATTTATACAACTTCAATGCACTGACCTGACTGGATTTCAAGCCGGCTGTTGGGGCATTGTCTGATGGATCAGATTCGGGAATCGGAGTGCCTGGCGCGAAGTCAAAAAGACCGGACCATCCGATCCAGGTGCCTTTGCATTCCACTACCACTGGGGCCACTGCTGTCACAAGACCACCGGCGCTATGATCAAAAAAATAATTATTATTATTCAATCCTGAAATTGAACCTATAGAAACACACAAAGAAACTTATAAATGTTGTCTACGGTCAATGGCAAAAGCTTGACAAAAGATTTTTTACAAAATTGTATGTCATAGCCCCATTTTAAATCTTAGGTCTACCTTTCAGAGTTTAAGCCCCAAAACTAAAAAAGCGAAATAAAGAAAAAGTTCACCTCTTTTAGGGATAATGGTTTATGATATTTTTTCGTAAACTTGCTACACAAATAAATAGGTTAAGATGTTAAAACACAAAAATACAAAATAAAAACACTTCGTTGTAGAACGTCTCCTCCTTTTGATAGAACTTGGTGGGCGATATTTAAAAAAAAAAAATTGTTTTTACTCGTTATTTCGGTTGTAATAAAATAGGTATATATTTTTCATGTATAATAATATTATGATTTCAACTCACCTTTGTTTCCGGATCAGTTCGCCGTCGGCGTTTCTGGCCAGCACGAACGGCAGTCGGTTGGAGACGACTATCAAAGGAGCGTTGATCTCTCTCTTTTTATTGCTCATACTGGACAAATCTGTAAACAAAAAGAAAAAACGGACGATTCCGAAATTGAATTCAAAAACTGAAAAATAAACAAAATCCCAAAACCGAACGACTTGAATATATTATGTAAAAACAAAACAACTTTAACGCGCAATTAAAAATGTGTATTTTTTTTGCGGCCTATCAAACATTGTGCGGTTTTGTTGTTTTTCTTTTTGTTTGTGACCCAAACCGAGACGAAGCCTTTCCAAAGACAAACTGTCGGACGCTGAGAATTAAACTCTCCACTCCTACGAGCAGTGCGTGTAATTTGTACAACTCGAACACACACACATATATATATATATATATATATTATACATGTATAATAATAATAATAATAATAATAATAATAATAATAATAATAGGTTTTTTCACAACCCACAAAGATTGCGTCAACACGGTAGTATTCTAATTTTAATGATACAAAAAACGTTAGCGATAATAATATAATGTACTGTATTACTAATGATTTAAAAAATGTGTTTAGGCATCTAAGATTTTAAACGCGAAAGGTTCGCTAACAATATATGGTAATTAGAGAACATTATAATTATATTTGTTTTTGAAAGTACAAAGATTTACAATGAAGTACAAAAAAAAATAATTTTACCAATCGTCGTAAACACATGTTGTGAGAAGCCGCGCAATAACAACAATTAGGTATACCTATTTTGTTAAAGTGTTACAAAGAAATAATTTGATTTTTTTTTATCAAATCCTGAGCTAATATAATTATAAAAATAATTGTTCTTTGATGTGTTATTTTCTAGATAATAGGTTTGGTCGATAATGATCGCGTTAAGACCCGAATTAAACTCAACGTCAATATTGTCAAATTGGCAAAGTATAAAGCTAATAATTACTCATAATAAGTATATAAAACATGGGCACAAAATTATTAACCAGGTTAAAATATTTTATATAATTTCTGAAAGTCTGTTCAGGACTCGAATTGGCCCACTTTCATTTTGTAGTTTTGGAAATTGACCTAAGGCTAGTATTGAATTTTGGGTTAGTTATTTTTAGCTAACTGCGATGTTGTTATTTATTAGAATCGCAGTAGTGTTAAAAAGGTCATATTAAGTATATTATTAATATATAAATTAATTTAAATTATTTTTTAATATCTGGTTTAACATTCAATTAAGTTGTTCGTTGGGTTATTTCATTGTACGTTGTCTTCGTTAAAATTTAATTGTGCTCATTTTACAATTATTTTACGGTTCCGTTTTTCTTGCTAAAATGTTTTCCATTTGATTATTTTCGAAAAATATGTACTTAACTTTTCGTAGTATTTAAGATATTCGAAAGCTATTTAATAACGTAATATCTGGGAATCGCAGAGAAAAATAGTTTTAATTTCAATCAGACCCCTAGAGGTTAATTAAGCCATAGAATTCACATTTATTTTAGATTATCAAAATAATGTATTTACCCAAGTAAATATACAAAGGTAAACTAGAACAAGTAGGATATATATATTGGGAACCTTGTCGTATCTTTAAGTGGCTCGTGGATGATTTATAAGTGAAAACAATGTCAACTAAATATTCATGTTTATAATAGGTAACTAAAAAAAACAAAAACAATATTTCTAGTCGGTGAATATATTAAAACGAGTAAACACCATAATTAAAATGTATTTATTACGGTCGTAACTCGTACCAACTAAGTATTTTTTTTTTTTTTGTTTACCATTAGACGCTTTACAGATAATTATTGTGCGTATGATGTATTCGTTATGATAATAATTAACGGTAGGATGGAAATCAATTAAATTCGGGTTTGTTGTTCTTTTGTTGTTTATCGCTGACTCGTAATTAACTTCAAAGGTCGTTAAATCCACATCGATAGCGTCGATTCCTGGAAATATGTTTTTCGTACCGCCTCCTTTACATTTTTACAACCAAAATTCAAACTGGCTAACAAATTTTCATTCAAAGAATTTTATAATTGAATTTTTGAAACATGTTTATCAGACCAGTTAAGCCAATGCCCAAATATCTACCAATCCTCTTTACCCTCGACCGCGCCACATTAATTAAACGCAATAAATATTAGACTTTTTTGTTGAATAACACGAAGATTGCGTAACGTTCAATAATTAAAACAAAATCATATTAATATTATCGTGTAAAATAATTGCTGGGGAAATTTCAGTGAAATTAGAACGTCTGAAACTTTAAATAATTGTATAGGTAGATATACTAATTATTAGTGTTACCTATTTATACACTTGGCAAAATAACTTTAGTCCGTCAACGAAATACGCTTATCAAAACGCAACACTACCAAATGAGCCGACCAAACTATATTGTGGCTTTTAATTGAACTATTGAAACAGTCGTTTAGTTCAATGTTACTAAACGGTCATTACTCAGGTCCGTCGTCTTAGTAAAACCTATCTTTGAAATGAGAAACCAAAAGTACAACAAGACACAACGACTGATGTTTGTACAATAAAATAAAAAATCCTCTATCACATCCCGAGAACAACGTCCATAGGTACTCAAGGTACAGTAGGGCAACATTTTAAATATTGTTAAAAAAAAAAAAGTACGATCTTACTCTGTCCGTTTGTTCGAAACATGTTCTCTTTATTGGAATTCACGGAGACGGGCATTTTGAATAGGGTTTTGATAATACCGAGGTCGGACTTCCAGCGTTTATTCGGCCAACGACACTACTAGTACTACTAATACAACTACTACCGGCGTCCGGCATCGTTATCGATTCAGGTAGGAATAAAAAAAAAAATGAAGTAAATAAATGAATAGGTATAACGTAAGCTCCGGTAGGTTGGGAAATTTCGGAATAATAATTATTGTCGTTTACCACACTTGTGCGCCGACAACCGGTTCAGACCTATTCCCTGCACAGAATGAGAGTCGTCCCGACGCCTTCCACCTGTTTTTTATATTATTATTTTTACCTGTAGTAATAATAAATAGGCATAGGCACGGGGACCCGGTCGAATAAGATGTAAACGGCGGCGGCAGTGAGATTATAATATAATATATGTCCCGATTTTCAAGTCCTTGAATACCTAATTGAAACCGACACGAGCGGTAATAATTTAAACGCCTTGGAATATTATTATTAATTCGAGTAGGCTCCTCCTGGTCAGTAAACTCGGAATTTGTGCTTGTTCATTCAGAACGTCTCGACCGTTGAACGTTGAAATCGGTCAAATATCGGTCGGTCGTCGTCTTGAGTCAATGACGATGATGTTTTAAAAAAAAAAAGCTCAGACGAAAACGTGTAACACAATGGCAAACGGGACTTACGGCGGTAAAGTTTCGAAAAAGCCGCACGATATTAGATCATCAAATCACAGAACAGACTGTAAAATGTTAGGAAGGCGGTATACCCTTTATTTATTAAAAAGGAGTTCAAAAATGTTGTTTTATTAAATTTTTATCATGGGGTGTTTTGCTCTAAGCCCATCGGGGAGTAAAACGCATTTTGCGTAGTAAGGTTTTAACAGAAGAAACTTGGCATGATAACATCTCCTTTTTCATTCTAATTTGTATGTTGTCTATTGATTATTATCGGTGAGTATTGGCAGTGTGAAGCGTTAGGGTTTTAACAAAAATTTGGATTTGTATAGATACTCAATGTGAAGAACGCTGAACAAAAACTACAAAGTGCCCAATACCTACACTCTACACTTATAGAATATAACGTAAAATTAGAATAATGTTTTATAAAAATGTTTTTTTTAATGCTATCAAATGATTAACATAAAATATTTGAGAAATAATATTTATAAATCTTAAATTTATCATTGTAATATAATTATATTACAATTAATAAAACATGTTATTAAATTATTGTCATATTATACAATTATAAATAATATTTCCAAAATATTTAAAAAAAAATGTTTTAGCTCTATGGGTCCCGATATAACTTTGTTTGTGTACTTCTAAGGTCATCATGAATGTACTTCGTGCATGATCCCGAGTCGACTTATGGGTTTATCCGTTTTTATCTAATAGGCACATTTTTTTTAAGCTGTTTGCAAAGGTACTTACATATAAATTATAATTATCTTATCTTTACATCGTTTATTTGCATTGTAAAACCCTAGACAAACTAATTTCATAATTAAATATTATTTTATAATTAGATACAACCCGTTCTAATTTGACATGCTGTACATCAGTGGGTGCACAATAATATAAAAATAGCTATTATCAGTTATATGTTTTAACTTTGAGTGGTAATTTGCTTTAATCGTTAAGTTTAAGCAAATGTGATAACGATAAATTTAGATATTACACTTTTTACAAGTGTTTCGTTATTTTCATACATACAAAAATAAAAAAAGCTGAATATTTTGCATTCTACCAATTTTACCAGAATGCCACAACATCATCAAACACACAAGTTCTAGTTATCACTTTAACGGTTCCGATGTTAATCTTAACGTCCAAAATACATTAAAAAGTTTAACGTGGGTATATTTTTTTCAGGAGGGGAAAGGTGACCTCGATACGATGTATGTAATCATAAACTATCGGGAATTAAATTAGGTAGTTAACGCATAACCTATAGGTATATATATTATAAAGCAATGATTTAACTAAGTTTAATTTTTATCACAAAATCAATAAAAATGATTGATTACTGAACAGTGGTATATTGTTGAATTAATTTATTTAGGGTTCAAATCCTAGTTGGCGATGGGTTATTTTCATTCAGATGAATAAATATTATATGAGTAGCTTTATATATGAAAACCATAAGTGCAACGTTTAAAAAAAGGTCTCTATATCACCGTTTCTATTTTTTAGGTAGAATTTTAATTCGTATTTATTTGATCTAATGTTAATTTAAAATACAATGCAAATACCATTCAGCTCTAATAATTCTAATATTATATTTGTTTACAACTCTAGAGGTAAATTGTATGCATTATAATTGGATGTTACAAAAGAACTTTGAGTCTCGTATAATGCATTTAATTTGAATAACAATAAATAC